CCATGATATCTCCCCAGATTTCGTGGCGCCTCTTCTTGTTTCATTACGTCCCTGGCCCCCCCGCTGGGCCGTGCACATGCCGCCGGTCATGATTTGCACCCCCCCTCTTGGGCCCCCCCTCTTGGCCGCTCCCGAACTCCCCCCTCCTCGCTCCTCCCTCGTCAATCGTTCCCTGGTCGGGAGCTTGCCTTCTGCGAGGGCGGTGGAGGCCTTCCACGAGGGCAGGCGGCTTCCCAGAAGCGCTCCTCGCTTCCCAGGAAGCGTTCGAGGAAGCGATGGGGGGTCCGAGTAGATGGGGCCGGAGGATGGCGCCGCATCGCCGATGCATGGGCGATGCGGCTCGATGCGGCGTCCGCTTTGCTTCACGTCGCCGATGCATCGCCGACGTCGACGACGCATTGCCGTTGCATCGCCGATGCATCGAAGAGGCATCGGTGGTGGGCGCGGTCCGCCGGCACCATCTACTCCGATCCCATCTAGAAGGCCTCTACTCGCTCTCCTCGTAAATCATTCCCTGGTTGGGAGCGGCCTTCTAAGCAGGCGGTGGGGGGCTCCGCGAGGGAAGGAGGCTTCCTAGAGGCGCTCCTCGCTTTCAGGGAGCGTTCGAAGAAGCCGACGGGCCTCTCAAAGAAGGCCCCCACCTGCTGAGGAACCACTCGCCTGCTTAGAAGCCCACCCCCTCACGCCAACCCCCTGTGGGCGCTGCCAAGATCGAGAAAGAGAAAGAAAAGGAGGAGGAGGAAGAGGAGGAGGTGAAGCATCGAGGGTCGAGAGTCGGTCCTCGATGGGGAGGAGCATGATCATCGAGGATCGAGGGTCGCTCGAGGAGGAGGAGGAGGAGGAGGAGGAGGTGAAGCATCGAGGTTCGAGAGTCGGTCCTCGATGGGGAGGAGCATCGAAGAGGAGCAGGAGGAGGAGCACGAGGAGGAGGATCATCGAGGATCGAGGGTCGCTCGAGGAGGAGGAGGAGGAGGAGGAGGAGGAGGAGGAGGAGGAGGAGGAGGAGGAGGAGGAGGAGAGGACATCGAGGAGTTTGCGCCGCCCATCGTGGACCCTCCCGAGTGCGCCCCCGCCAAGCCGCGGGCGCCCTGGGCCTTCGGCGCTCGGCATGGCCCCGGCGGCCCCCGCGGCGGGTGGCGGCGACGCCGCGGCAGCCGCCGCGCCCGGCGGCGGCGATGCCGCGGCGGCGGCGCAGGCCGGGTGCCCCCGGCGACGGTGGCGGCGACGAGGGCTCGGCGGTCCAATGACGGGGTCCTCGGGGATGGGGGCCTCAGGATAGGTCGGGGGTGGACAGAACCCCCAATAGTGACACGTCGATTAGTGAATTGTCCGTTTTCGGTTCTCGAGTGGGCGCCGTGGCCGTTATTTTCCAGCCTTGCGCCCGCCAAGTATGGGCCTCAGGTCGTTTTCACTAAACCACGTTTCACTAAAGGGGGGTTTGTCCATCCCCGGATAGGCACGGATCCAAGGGTGGATCCACGCTGTTTGTGGCACCTCGTCCTGAGGACCCCAGCCCTCAGGGCCCCCCATCTTTGAGCCACCGGAGGGCTGCGGCGGTGCCGCGGCGGCGACGATGCCGGCGGTGCCGGCGAGGCCGAGGGTCGAGTAGGGTCGGGCGGTATGTGCGGATGATGAGGATCGATCGAGGAGGATCGAGGAGGATCGAGGATCGAGGGGCGATAGGTGTGGGGGGGTGAAGACAGGTGCACGCTTCGTGCCCTGAAGGGGCCCCAGCCCCTTGGGGCTCACAATGGGCACGGCAGGTGCAAGCTTCTCCCCCAGCATGTATCCCCCCCCCACTGAGCAAAGCCCAAAAGGAGCAGGAGGAGGCCCCCCCATTGAGCCACGCCCAAGAGGAGCGGAAGGAGGAGGAGGAGGCGGGGGAGGAGAAGAAGGAGGAGGAGGAGGAGCAGGAGGAGGAGGAGGCGGAGGAGGAGGAGAAGTTGAAGGAGGAGGAGGAGGAAGAAAGAAGGAGGAGGAGGAGGAGGAGCAGCAGGACAGGCCGGCGAGGCCGACGACCGCGGCCTCCGAGGCCCGACGATCGAGGCCGAGGAGCGAGGCCGGCGGGGCACACTGCCGAGGCTCGTGGAGGAAGCGCGCTGCGCTGCTCGGAGGTCCGTGCGAATGCCTGGGGGCGGCGCCGGGCCTCCCCCACTGGCAAGGAGTGGCGAGGCGCCCCGGCTCGCGCACAGGCCCACGGGGCAGTGTCCCAAGAGTCGCGTGTGGTGTGCGCGGCGTGCTCTCAGAACAGTTCGGGTTGGGGCAGTGCTTGCTTTTTATACGGCGGCCTTGTGGTCTAGAGGGCAGCGCCTCTGCTCTCAGAACGACCTGTCGCTCCAAGCACGTGTCGTGGTAGGCCCATCTGGATGCCCCGAAGGCTGGGCGCTGCTCAACGTCAGGGGAGGGTGGTCCAGGGCCGAGCCAAGAAGTCCGCGCGGACCTCCGAAAGCTTGTCTGCTTCCTTCTTCTCGGCGAGGCTGCCAGCGACGACGAGGCCGAGAGCGACGACGAGGCCGACGACGACGACGCCGACGACGACGGCGACGGCGGCGGAGACGACGAAGACGGCGACGGCGACGACGACGACGGCGACGACGACCACGGCGACGGCGAAGGCGACGGCGACGGCGAAGGCGACGGCGGCGACGACGGCGACGTCGTCTCGGAGGCTCTCTGCGTTTCTGTGTGGGTCCACGCCGCCGTTGCTGGGCGCCCGTCGGGAAGCTCCTCGGGCCCCAGGAGTGGTCAGGGGTGCGGTTTTGAAAGGATCCAGGAGGGGAGAAAATCACACAGACACAATTAATCGCCGATCCCCTGGAAAAGAGGTGAAAATATGCGACGCGGGACACAAACACGAAAATCCCGAAAATATGAAAAATACATGGGAATCTTGGGATTGTGTATGCATTTATTTGTGTGTGTCCCTGGGCCCCTCTAAAGGATGCGGGCCGCCCTCCTACACGACGGCGTGCGCCAAAGAGGCCGACGACGAGGGGCGACGAGGAGGGACCGGCGACCACGGCGTCGAGAGGGCGAGGGCGAGGGCGAGGATGGCCGCGAGCAGCCGGGGCCGGGGTGAGGACGTAGAGGTGGGCGCTGAGGCAAGGGCGAGGAGGGGAGAGCAAGAATTGAGCAGGAGATCGACCACAGTGACTACAGAAGCGATGTACCAAAAATTTGATTTCCACGTCGAAGCTTCCAGACACGTACGCAGAAGGTTCGTAGATCTGAGAAAGCTTCTACGAATTGTTCGTGGATCCGGCGAGAAAGGGCAATTCTGGGCTAAATGAATTCTGTAGTCGAATCCCATCCTTGAAGGAAGGGGCAGGGGGAGAGGCAGGTGGAGGGGGAGCAGGGGCATCAGGCGATCGCAAACATGGATCAAGGGGGCGTGGATTAGCGACGGGTCCCGTTTCCATGGGAAATCGCGGAGTTCCGCGGCCGAAGGAGGCGGCCTTGGCCGCATTTCGGGGAGGGGATCTCCCCCGATCCCTGGATTCGACGACCGCCCGCCAAATACATGGCTCGCTCCTCCATGTCTGCGCGCCCCCGAGGGGAGAGAGGCAGGGCAGCAGGGTGCAGCAGGAGAAGAGGGAGGATGAGGACGACGAGGACGAAGGGCGAGGTCGAAGGGATCGAGCAGACGGACCGAGCAAGTGGGAGCGGAGAGCGCGATGAAGGGTGAGGAGGAGGAGAAGGACGAGAAGGAGGAGGAGGAGGAGGAAGAGGGTGAGGAGGAGGAGGAGCAGGAGGACGAGGAGGAGGATGGGGAGGAGGAGGAGAAGGAGGAGGAGCAGGAGGACGAGGAGGAGGAGGAGGAGGAGGGTGAGGAGGAGAAGGAAGAAGAAGAGGCTGACCGTCTTCGTCGTATTCGCAGTCGGCGTCCCCATCATCCCTTCGTTCTCGTATGCTGTGCGTCTTTTTTCCCTCGGCTCAGTGGGGGGGGTCATCGATTGGAGGACGCGTCATGGGGGCGCGATCAGTAAGGGGGGACAAGCGAGGGCTGCAGAGAGGGAACCTCTAGGGCCCCGTAATGGGTGCCCGTAGGGCCCGAAAAGGGCACCCTCTTTCCCCCCTTGGTTTCGCCGCGCGAATAGGGGGGCAGGGGGAGGGGGGGAAGGCTTCTTGGAACCACACCTTCTTAGAAGGCGCGGGCCTTGTCTCTTTCTTTCTTTTTGCTTGTTCTCTCTCTCTCTCATTCTCCCTCTGTGTGTATATGTACACACATCTATACACATACGTATACGGCCGGCGCCTTCTAAGAACAAGCCTCCTTTAAAGAACCCTTCCCCCTGCCCCGACCAACCTCTGGGCGCCGCTAATTCGTGCCCCATCGACGTGGAATCGGCGGCACACCGCTGCTCCAGAGCGGCGGCTAGCCCCCGACGGCGCGTCCGCACACGCCGCTTGGCGGGTCGTCGGGCCGCTGTCGGCGATCGCTAGCGTGGCATCGCTCGGACGTGTACATTTCTTCTCGGCGAGGACCGTTGAGGAGCATCCTGGATTAAGTCGGGCATGGTCCTCTACACGGGGAATGTTCAGAACATATTCAACAACTAGCCTGGGGACGATTCATTGTATGTTTGACTTTTTATGGCGTGTTTTTCTTATTTCCAATTTTCTTCCAAAATCCGCCTGTAGTGGATCATTCCCGAACTAAATCCTGGATCATCGAGCCAAAAAAGCACGCACGAGATCGACACATGCACGTGGAATGGACGACCGAGAGATAACGAGATGGGCGATGGGCTGATCCCCCCAGCGATCGTCATCATTCCGTTTTCTCGGCGGCGAGCGGGGCGGGGAAGTGAGAAGGAGGAGGCCTTCCCAGAGGGTGGCGGGACTTCTCAGAAGCCCTCGCGCCTGCTGAGAAGTTTTCCGTGTCTTCGAGGAAGGTTTGGAAAACTCCTCAAAAGGCCGGGGGACTTCCGAGCCTTCTGAGACCGCCCGCCCCTTTTCACCTCCCCCCTCGCTCGCCGCCGACAACCGCTCTGGTGCGCCCAGTGTCTGGCGTCCGCCAGCGCCGCGAACATTGGGCGTCGCCTACTTTGGGCGGAGGCGACCGATGGGGAGGAGAAGACGGGTGCACTCTCCGGGCTGTCGAGGCGCCCCTGGGGGCCCGAGAGGGCCTCCTTTCGTGGGCCCGAGAGGGCACCTCTTTCTCTGAAGCCCTCGCTGCCCCCCCCCCCCCCCCGGTTCATCGCGGCCTGGGCGCAGAGCGGTCGCACCCCCGTCCATCGCCAGGGGCAGGGCCCTCCCCGTGGGTCTCCCGTTTTCCCGACCGTGTCCTCGCGGGGGCCAGCGCGCCCTCGCGAGCAGCCCTCCGGCCTCCCCCCTGGGGCCCGGCGAGGGCCCGCGGCAGGGGCCGGAAGCGTCCGAGGAGGCACGACCCCGGTGCCGTTTTCAGCCCCGCCGCTAGGCACGGCTGCGACGTCTTGCCTTCTGCCGCACGCGGGCCCCGAAAGCCCCGTGCCTTTCTCCCGGGGATGGCCTCTCATCCCGAGTTGCGGTCTGATGGCATCGGGGCTCGCTGAGGGCCCCCAGAGGCCGGCCGTGCAGGACAAAACAAGAGCACTCCGCCGTCACGTGTCCGTGCCGCTGCGCCTCTGGAAGCACGCCGGAGGTCTGGGCCTCCTCTCAGTCCTCTTCCTTTCCCGACGACGACGACGACGACGGCCTTGACGACGACCACCACCACCACCACGACGACGACCACGACGACCACGACCACGACCACGACCACGACCACGACCACGACCACGACGTGCGCGCGCGCGCTCCGCCGCCCCAGGGCGGGCTGTTTGGCGGTGTGCTCGGCGAGGGCCGCGGCCTGAGGGCGGCCTACGCCTTCATCGTCGGGCAGGCTCCGCCGGCCCAGGGGACGACGACGACGACGACGACGACGACGACGACGACAGGGGAATATTCCCAAATAGGCCAAGTCTGGGGACGGTTGCTCGACAATCTTCGCATACTGCTGGTGCATTTTCCGAGTGGTTTCTTTTATGTCACGTTTCGTCCAACCTCCGCCTGCCTGGGGGGCGTGCCCGGCCGGACGCCAAGTGCAGGCCTCCCGCACGGGCAGGCCTCGGCCTGCGCAGCCCCCGCCCCCCAGGCAGGAGCCGAGCCGGGAGATCCCTGGCCCCCACTGGGCCCCCGGGGCAGCCTCGGCACCCCCGGCGATGCGCCCCTCTTCGGCGGCGCCACCCACGGCGATCTTCGCGCCCGCGCCGCCCGCACTCCTGTAGCCCTCGGGAGCGTCCTTTTTTGTGCCCTCCCGCGTGCTCCCTCCGATCAAAACACTTGGCATCGCTCGGACGTGTGCATTTCTCCTTCGGCGAGGACGATCGAGGAGCATCCTTCATCATCTGGCGAAACAACCACGCACGAAACCGAACAAAAAACATATGGAAGGGACGTCCGAGCGATGGCGAGAACATCGACTCTCGTCGCAGCTGGCCTCCGCGGGCCCCCCTCGGGTAGAAGCCAGGGCGGTCTCGACACCCCGCGGCGATCCGCCTCCGGCGGGCGGTGCCCCCGCGGCGATCCGCGCCCCAGGCGTGGAGTGCTGGGCGTCACCCCGGACCGTTTTGTGGGGGACTTGTGGAGGCCAGCCGGGCGTACCCGAAGAAGGACAAACGGCACATGCACATCGTTTGTCATTGGTCCGCGCGGATTTCTTGGATCGGCGCTGGGCCCCCCGGCAGAGCCTCTGGCGCCGCCAGGGAGGTGGGTCCAGCGCGGATCCAAGAAGTCCGTTGTTGTTCTGATATTGTTGAGGCCAGCTGGGACTACCTGGGGGACTGTCTCTGCGCAGCCCGAAGCCAAAATTGGGTCCGAGTTGATGAGGTCGGAGGATCGCGCCGCGTCGCCAATGTTGTACCGCCGATGCGACTCGATGTGGGGCCCAATTTTCTCCACGCCGTCCGCGCCGATGCATCGCCGACGTCGCCGATACATCGGCGACGCATCCGCGGTGCAATCGGACGCGGCGCGACCCGACCCCATCTACTCGGACCCCATCCGGGAGGCCTCCAGACAAGGACGACCAGGGTCGGGATGAAGGACGGCCACGACGAGGATGAGGACGAGGACGACTGGGGTCCTGAGAAACAAAAGCGGGTCTTTCAGGCTTCTCGCAGTTCGTTGGCTTCTGGGGCGCCCCCGCGGCCGCCAGAGAACGACTCAGGATGAAGATTTGTTCCTGCAGGAAGGCCCGCCGGTGCCAAGGGTCCTGCGAGAAAAGCGGGCGCTGCAGGCCTTCTCGCAGTTCTTTTTTAGGCTCCCGAGGGCTCTACCCGGGCCCCCCGGGCCGTCAGAGAACGACTCGGGAAGAACCTGACATCGCTCGGACGTGTATTTCCCAGAGATCCGATGTCGTGATTTTTTCAATGCGCGGTCCCCCGAAGTCTCGACCCATTCCCCAGGGCCGGTTTTTCATCCTGAATCGTTTTTCGACGGTCCCCGGGCCCAGCGAGGGCCCCCAGAGGCCGCAAATTGCGGAAAACCTCCGCCGTGATTTTCTCAATGCGCTGGCTCTCTGGGTTCCTCCTCGGCGAGGACCCTCGAGGGGCCTCCTGGCTCCTCCTGCGAAGCAGCGCCCGCGTGGAGTCGACCAGCAGCCCGGGGCCCGGGCGGCCGAGCGGCGGCGAGCGCAGAGCTGGCCCCCCGCAGGCAGGGCCCCCGGGTGCCGCGCCCGGAGGCGCCGCAGCGGGGAGGGCAGGGGGGCCACATGCGAGCCCTACTCCAGATTTCGTAAGAAGGGGAGGGGGGTCTCATTTCGGGGGGGGGGGGTCTCTTCCAGGCCATCTTGGAGGGCCTGGGGGGTCTGGGGACGATGTTTTGGAGGGTTTTCCCACGGGGGAGGTCTGAAATGGCTTGTCTTGGAGGGTCCAGACCCCCTCCCTAATATTACGAAATCTGGGGTGCCCCTGCCCCCCACGACTTCTGGGGGGGAGGGTGGGGTTCACTTCGCCTCAGAACCCCCCCCTCCCCCGCAGAAGTCGTGGGGGGTGGGGGTAGGGTTCGCATGTGGCCCTTCGCCGGAGTGGCCTTTGGTGCGGGCATATTTTCGGGGGTGGACAGACCTCCTACCCTGACACGTCGATCAGTGAATTGTCCGTTTTCGGTTCGAGAGGGCGCCGCAGCCGTTATGTTCCAGGCTTGCGCCAGCCAGGTTTGGGCCCGAGGTCGTTTTCACTAGACCACGCTTTACTAAGGGGAGGTCTGTCCATCCCCGAAATAGCGACCCTTCGCCGGAGTGCCCTTTGGCTTGGGCACGCTGGGGTTCCCCGATCGCCGAACGCGATGCGCCCCTAATTAGCGTCTTGCGCGCCCGTGGCTGGCCACCCCGCGGCCCCCAAAACGCCGCGCACCAGAGGTCACTCTTGCCCAGGGTCTCCTCCTCCTCCTCCTCCTCCTCCTCCTCCTCCTCCTCCTCCACTCTTGCGTGCAGCCGAGAAGTCCGCGCGGAGCTCCGAGAAAGCGCCCAGAGATCCAGCGCACTGAAACAAGTCCAGGCGGAGGCGTTTCTCGGCCGTCGGCCACTACGGGGGCCCTCGCCGGGCCCCCGGACCGTCAACAGGACGACTCGGGATGAAGAACCGGTCCTGCAGGAAGGGCTCGAGGCTTCGGGGGGCCGCGCATCGAGAAAAGAAGGCGACGTCGGAGCTCTGGATGTGGGTTGCTGCAGCCTGTTGCTCCCGCGGTCCCGGCGGGTGCCTCCCTGCGCTCCAGGGGAGTGGGAGGTGGATAGACCTCCCACCCTGGCACGTCGATGAGTGGATTGGCCGTTTTCGCTCCGCGAGAGAGGGCGTCGCGGCCGTCATTTTTGCGGGTCCAGGTCCGTCGGTTTCGGCCCCAGGCCGTTCTCGCTAAGGGGAGGTTTGCTAAAGGGAGGTTCGTCCACCGCCGGAGGAGGCGGTTCCTGGTACAGTCGGGGCGCTGGACAAGGAACCCTTTTCGTTGGGGAGGGGCTCCGTGCTCCTCAATTGTCTCGCAGCTTGCCTTAGGTTGTCCTTTGGTCTTCGGTGGGGGATCGAAGGTTAGCTTATGGAAAAAAGGGGCCTCGTTCCTCATTCGAGGTTCCTCAGGTCAACGCCCCGACTGTAGGTGCCATCGGGCGTCTGCGGCCGGCGTATAGGCGGCGAAGCGTCTCTCTTCGGGGGGCGGCGACGCCCGAGCCCTGGCCTCACCGATGCACGAGTCGGGCAGCTCGAGGGGCGTCCAGGGTTCTGTCGGGCCTGTCCCCCTACAGGGGGACTTTCGACGAAAGAATTCAAATGCCCCAAACATACCCCCAAGAAGGTCAAACAAAACCAAAAAAACTTTAAAAAATACTCCCCAGACTATGTTTGAACTATGCTTGTACTATTTTGAGGGTATGTTCTTAATTTTTCGTCGAAAATCCCCCTGTGGGGGGGGACAGGCCCGACTTAACCCTGGCCTCGCCGATCCACAAATCAGGCAGCTCGAGGGGCGTCCAGGGTTTGGGCATCCCTGGACAGGGGGTCCGAGCAGATGGGGTCGGAGGGTCGCGCCGCATCGCCGCTGCATCGCCAGTGCGGATCGATGTGGAGCCTGAGCTTCCCCGCGCGCGCCGGCGTCGCCGATGCACGGCCGACGTCATCGAGATGCATCGGCGATGCATCGGCGATGCATCGGCGATGCGGCGTGATCCTCCGACCCCATCGATTCGGACCTCATCTGGGAGGCCTTTAGGGTGGCTGGGCAGGTTTCGGAATGCGGCGAACACGCTGCGAAATCCGAACCCTACCCTCGCCTCCCATCGATTCATGAACATCGGCGGTTGGCGGGGTGGAAAGGGTTCGGATGCCGCCGCCTAGTCTTAAGTCCGGCATGTCCATCCACAGGAGGAATCTTCAAACATGCTTTAAATACTAAAAATAATATGATGACGATTTCCCTGCTATGCTTTACTTTGTTTGAGCATTTGTTGTTTCAATGTATGATTATTCTTCCAAGAGCCGCCTGTAGGAGGACATGCCCGACCTAAGCCTAGTCTTGGGGCACCCTGGGCGCTCGAAAGATGTTTCCTGGCAGGTGCTCCCGAGCGCCCCGCGGAGCGTCGCAGCCCGCCCTGGCCTCGCCCTTTGACGCAGTTTGCCGCCTGGGGGCTTCGCGCGTCGTGCCCCGCGAGCAAGAGGGCGAGCTATCCTCGGAGTCGGCGGTCGGGGCCTCGAGTGCTGGGCTCGAGCAAGCTTGCAGCGGAGGCCCATGCCAAGACACACCCTGCTTGCCTCCAGGGTGCCCTGGTTTCTTGGGGTCTCGCTGGTTTAGCGATGGAAGGCGTGACGTTCCCACGCCAGAAACCAATGGACGTCCCGGGGTCTCAGGGTTGGGTTTCTTGTGGAAGGTTTCTTGTGGTCGGGCCCCTACTGTGGCCAGCGAGTTCACACCGAGGGTCGCCAAAGTCCTCGGCGAGCCGCTGTTTTTCCATCCCGTGCCACGCACTCTCACCGATGCATCGCCGATGCATCGGTGATGTCTTGGCGATGCGGCGTGATCATCCGAACCCACCTACTCGGACCCCATCTAGGAGGCCTCTGCTCAGCCCTTCCGCGCTTGGGTCGGCCCCTCAGCGAGGGAAAGTCTCTGTGGGGCCGATCGTGCCAACGAGGGCTCTCTCGAACCCTCGGTGGGGCGTCCTGGGCCGGCTCCTGCCAGGTGGGCGGCCTGCGAAGGCAGGGAGGGGCGGGGGAGGCGGGGGGGGGGGAGTTTATGATGCGACGCGCGGCTTCGCATGGTGCGTGCTCGATGAGAGAGGGGATGAAAGGCCAGGCGGGTGGCGCACTGGATCACTTTTTTGGATCCGCGGGTCGAGAGCAAGCCTCTTCCGGTCGAAGCTAAGCGGGCCGCGCACAGGTTTAATTAACCGAGGAAGGGAAAAATAAGAAGGCCAAGAAGGGGCAAAGCCCCGGGATTAGGCGGTGCCGAAAGCGAAGTGCATGCAAAGGAACGCCTTGGACAGGAACCCAGAGGCGAAGTGCCTGGAGGCGAAAAGCTGGTGGTGGTGCCGTCAGCGGCGCATCATGTACACCAGCCCCATAAACTCCGGGAGAGGACGGCGCACTGCATCACACGAGGATCCACCGCTTACGCCACCGCCTGGCCTGGTCCCCGAAGTAAAAAGCTCGGGGGCCTTCCTCCCCGCGGGGGGCTCCTCGAAGAAGAGGAGCCGATGAGGCCGAGGGGGGAGTTGGGCCGGCGGGCGGGCGGGCAGGCGGGGGAGCTCCGCGGGAGGGGGTCGCCGGGCGCCCTCGCGGAGACGGGGGGCGCAGGAGGCGCCAGGGCGGGGCAGGAAAAAGCACGCAGACCCAACTGGTCGTCGGTTCCCGAAGCGGGGGGGAGACGGCCATCCAGAACATATGAGAAGATGTGGGGAATCCTGGGATTTGTGATAATTCTCTTGTTTGCCCCAGGGCCCCTCTAGCCAGGGCGTGGCAGGAAGATGAGGCTGAGTAACACGACAGAGGACTATGGGGACGATCGAAAAAGGAAAAAACGGCACAAACATATAAACGTTTGGCGCTCGGCGCGGATTCCTTGGGTCCGCGCTGGCCCCCCCCCCCCCCGGCGGCGCTTCCGGCGCCGCCCGTTTTGCGCGCTCCAACCGCCGGGCTGGGGGGGTCCAGCGCGGATCCAAGAAATCCGCGCCGAGCGCCAAAAGTTTATGTTTATGGCGTTTGTTTCTTCTTCTAGGCGAGGAAGAGGACAATTCAGAAGGGGAAGGGGAAGTTGGAGGGTCTGACTCCAGTGAGGTCATCTCCACCGTGTGGCGCAATCTTCCTGAGCGGCAAGGAGGACCGAAGCCGTGCCCCCCGTGCTGGCATTAAGTGATGCGCCACCCTGCTCATCCTGTTTTCCATCGCTTCCCCTCCATTATTGTACTATGTTTCGTCCCCCCCTCCGTTCTCTCCCATACCCTCTGCGTCTTCACGGCGCAAATCATGCCACGCTTTCTTCGCAGCGCGGAGGCTGACATTTGCCTCGGCGGCACCCGAATCATTCGCCACTGGAGGGCATCATATAGCATTTTGCTGGCAGAATGTGCCCCTGGCTCTTCCAAAGCAAACGAGGGCGGCCTGACATCGAGGTCAGTGTTATCAGGGGGTGGAGTGCAGTGCAATTGGTGGATCTTGGCAGACTGGCCACCAGTTGCGAGAGGCGATTCAATAGCCTCTTCGTCGCCCTGCCACAGTCGTTGGCGCACACACACACACACACACACACGCTCTCTCTCTCTCTCTCTTTCTCTTTCTCTGCATTTTTTCACTCAGCGCTGCCACGCGGTGGGCGAACTGGGAACATTTGTTCATCTGTGTATACATTTACCGACTGGCGTTCACAAGTACACTTACGTACCGATCTAAACCTGGATATATTCTGTATATATGTATAAATATATGTCTGTGTACGTGTATATATCCATTTATATATATACACGGAGAGAGTGAGAGAGAGAAAGGAAGAGTGTGACAGAAAGAGAGAAAGAGAGAGAGAGAGAATGGCCTTCGGGCCATCCCGCCACCGTGCCTGGATTGTAGGTTGGAGGCCTCCCAGATGTCTGTTATGATCTCTTGGGGGGCCTCTCGGATGCCTCTTGGGAGTCCTCTTGGAGCCTCTTGGGCGCGCCCCGGGGGCTTGTGGAGGGATCTTGGGACCGCATTGGGGCGGAGGGCTCGTTCGCGTTCCTCATTTTAGGCCCCTCTTTTGGCCGTCTTGGGTGCCTCTTGGGCCAATCTTGGGGGCTCTTGGGCCGTTTTGTTTTTTCCTGCCAGTATGGTTTTGCTAAGCATTTGTTGTATCATGGCCTCGCGGGCTGCCCTGTTTCTCAGGTTGTAGCCTCGCTGAAAGATCTTTGCTCATGGCCTGGCGAAGCCGTCGGGACAAACGTCAGAATCGGGAACACCATCGGGACAAGCGTCGGGACAACCATCGGGACAACCATCGGGAACACCATCGGGACAACCATCGGGACAACCATCGGGACAACCATCGGGACAACCGTCGGGACAAATTGCATACCACGGCCCGCGCGTGGGGCGACTCATCTTTGTACCGCTCAGTCCTGGCCAGTGGACTGACTCGCGCAGCTTCGCCTTGCCCCGCTTGCACGCACCTCACGCACGAAACGAGACGATCCCCATCTCGGGGCACCCCACGTTTCCCCTCGGCCTCACCCCCCGCCCACCTCCCAGGAAGCTTCCCTCCGCGCGTGCAGATGTATGACAGGCATGTCTCTGGTACCCGAGCCCTGGACTGGCCGCCCCCGACCCGGACCCCCGACGCCAGGAGGCCGCAGGCCCCCAAAGCCAAGAATGGAGAGAGAAGCCTGGCGTCGGGATTGTTGTCATGACCCGACGGGGAGAATAGTATGACGGGAAGCTCCGTGCGGATTTCTTGGATCCGCGCTGGACCCCCTTTCCTGGCGCGCGGTATCGAAGCAATCGCGCGGAGCGCCAACAAGTGTATGTTTATCAGAGCCCCGAATCATCAGGGATAATTCGGGTCAGGGCTAACTCGGGTTCGTTTTTCGGGATTCCGAACCCGAGTTATCCCGGGCCCGAGTTGCCCCGGATATTTCGGGCGTCCAGAGCCCCGAATCATCAGGGATAATTCGGGTCAGGGCTAACTCGGGTTCGTTTTTCGGGATTCCGAACCCGAGTTACCCCGGACCCGAGTTGCCCCGGATAACTCGGGCGTCCAGAGCCCCGAATCATCAGGGGTAACTCGGGTCAGGGCTAACTCGGGTTCGTTTTTCGGGAACCCAAACCCGAGTTACCCCGGACTCGAGTTGCCCCGGATAACTCGGGCGTCCAAGTTTATGTTGCTGCTTCTCCTTCTGGGCACCGTGGCGGACCCACCCAGGCGCACTGGTCGCCCACCGGGCACATCGGCGGCACCGTGGCGAAACCTCGGCGGACCCATCCAACCCCTTGGAAGGGTGGCATATGAGTCAGGAGGGAAAAAAACACACAGACACAATGATTCGTCGATTCCCCAGAAAATATGCGAAAATAGGGGAAGTGGGTGGGAAGACAGAACCCCAGAAGATATAGGAAAATATTGGGAATATTTTTATTTGTGTGTATTTGTTTGTGCGTGTGTGGGCCCCTTCAATATGATCGAGAACCCCTGAGTGCAAGCACAGCTTGCCCCATGATTGTCTCGACGGTTGAACCGATAGGTAGTGCGATCGACGAGCTTAGTCAACGTGCGATCAACTGGTAGTGTTGCCGGTGCAGGTTGTTCCATCGACACGGTTGTTGCGATGTTTGTTCCGATGGTTATTCGATGGAGACGGTTGTCCAGATGGTTGCCCCGCATTTTCACAATCAATCGCATACACACACATATATACATATATATACACATATATATATACACATGTATTGTAGTGGCCTCCGACCAGTGCCGCCGATCCGGGGATTTGGTTGGTGGAAGCGGAGGTGGAGGAGTAGGTGGAGGATGGGGCGGAGGGAGGTGGAGGGAGGGATTGCCGCACGATGGCCCAAGACGGCCTAAGCAGCCCCCAAGTGGACCTCCAGGAACGCCCGAAGAGGCCCAAAACCTTGATGTCCTATAGGTTTTGAAGGATTCGGGGGGTTCTTCCTTTTCTGGCATCTGGGGTGGCACTCTGCTGTGTTTCCCACGACCCTACCCCCCCCCCCCCCCCGAAAAACGGAGCACAGCGCGTCCCCCCCCCCACACCCCATCCCCCTACCCCGGCAGAGCCACCCCGGCACCCACCCCCCAGCAGAGCAGAAGGTCAGGAATTGAAGCTGAGGCTAAAGGCTCTTTCAAACTCACACGCCGGATCGGCGGATATGTATGTATGTATATGGATGTGTGTGTACATAGAACGTTGGAAAGACATGTAGGGGTCCACACCTACGGATATACATATAGGTGAAGTTATATAAAAGTATTTGGCCATACGCACATAGAAAAGACGTGATCTGGATGCACGTGCGATGCCCAGCATGTTGACACACATGAGTAGCAGCATACACATGTGTATGCTCACGCGCGCACGCGTATGCACCTACTTGCATGCATATTCGTACACATACATATACACATACGTCATGCAAGCAATCGTGTTCAGGTTCGGGCGCGTGTCCACTCACGAATTGAATCGTGCGTCCAGGGCGCATCACCTGGGATGTCCCCCCCACATGTTCTTGTGGCCGAAGGGTGGTCTATACCATTCTCAGAGAGAGAGAGAGAAGGAGAGGGAGAGAGAGAGAGAGTGAGTGAGTGAGGGGAAACTTATATATATATATATAGAGAGAGAGAGACTGACAACACATAGAGACTTCGGGGGAGAGGGAGAGATTGACAGAGAGAGAGAGAGAGAGAGAGCGAGAGGTGAAGAAAGAGGGAAGGCGATGGAAATATCTATCTCCATATATAAACACACATATATATATGTGCACGATACATCGATGAAGAGTGAACGTGAGAGGGAAAGAGCCGAGGGGTGGACCGGAGAGTGCACGAGAGAGCATCAAGCGTTGCAGAGAGGGGGCTGGAGACGGGAGCGGGAGGGTGATAGGCGCAGCGGAGGGGAGCTGCGGAAGGGAGGGGGGGTGGAGGGCCAGAGCGGACGAGAGGGGAGGGAGGTGGGGCCGCTCCTCTTTTCCTCCTCCTCCTCCTCCTCCTCCTCTCCCCTTTCGTTGTTCTCCTCCTCCGCCTCCGCCGCCTCCTCCTCCTCCTCCTTCTCCTCCTCTCCCCTCTCGTTGTTTTCCTCCTCCTCCTCCTCCTCCTCCTCCTCCTCCTCCTCCTCCCCCTCCTCCTTCTCCCCCTCCTCCTCCCCCCCTGCCCCTTCCCCTCCTCCTCATCCTCCTCCGCCTCGCCCTTCTCCTCCTCGGGGAGAGGAGGGGAGAGGGGGGGACCAAGGCTGTCCAGGGGCGGCTCGGTCGGTTCGGCTGCGTCCCCATCGGTTGCGTGCGGTCGTCTCGGGCGTCGCCGTTGTCTCCGCTGCGGCCTTCTGGTCTTCTTGCGGCCGGTTGTCGCGGTCGGTTCGGTCGGTTGCCGGCTGTGTTGTGGTTCTATCTATGGTGCTGTCGCTGCCACTCATGGCCCCGCGCGGGGTGGCGGAGACTTCGATTATAAAAGGGTGCACCAAACATTGTTTGCCGGGAAAAATACATAGAGTGCGTTGTGGACGGGGGTCTCTTTCTTTTTCCACCCTCCCCCCATCGTCGTCCCCCCTCGGTTCCACCTCCGTCATCTTCCTCCTCGATTGTCTTTCCTCCTCCCGCCGGGCAGCGGCATCGGTCCAGTGGAGACCCATGCCTCGAAACACCCTGCTTGCCTCCACGGTGCCCTGGGCCTCTTGGGTTTCGATGGTTTTCCTATGGGAAGCGTGACGTTCCCATGCCAAAACATCAATGGACATCCTGGTGTCTCAGGGTTGCGTTTCTTGTTGAAGGTTTTTTGTGCTCGGGCCCCATGCAGACTGTAGAGGGGGAGGAGGAGGAGGAGGAGGAGGAGGAGGAGGAGGAGGAGGAGGAGGAGGAGGAGGAGGAGGAGGAGGTGGCGCGAATATGATCGCTTGTGGAGCCCACCCAACTTCCAGCTCCCTCGCCAGGGCAGGGGCTCGCGGAGGGCGCCGTGCCCGGGGGCCTCTCGGTGACGCGCCGGGGCATCGAGCTGGAGCTCTTCGGCTTCTGGTGGTGGTGCCTCTTCGGCGTCGCCGTCCTCATGGCCTGCCCGCCGCGCTCTCGCTCTCTCCCCTCCGCCGCCCCTCGCCGCCCTCGGAGATCACGCCCCCCCCCGGGTGGGCGTGGAGGTGGAGGTGGAGGTCGATTCATCCTCGACCCTCGATGCTGTCGGTCGACCGGCGATCTTCGAGCGAGCCTCGACCAAGGAGGGGCATGGGGCGTGGAAGAGGCCAGGGAGGAGACAGCGTCGAGGAGCGGGCGGAGGGGGGGGGGGCGGGGATGGAGCGGGGCGAGAGGGGGAGGCAGGGCAGCGGAGCAGCAGCAGCAGCAGCAGGGGGGGCGGAGAGGTGGCGGCGGGGGCGAACGTGAGAGGGGGGGCGTGGGCGGGGGCGGGGCCGAAGGTGGTGGAGATACGGAAATGGAGGAGGAGGTGGAGGCGGAGAGAGTGGGAGGGGGGTGACCGGGTGTCCCCCCCCCGCGGAGGAGGAGGCGGGAGAAGGGCGGGGGGGCACCAAATCCCCCCCCCCCTCTGCGGAGGAGGAGAAGGGCGGGGGGGTGAATTGGTGCCCCCCTCCCACCGACCCCCGCTCTGCGGAGCCTCCTGGGGGCCGCGGGGCCCTTTCCTCGCCTTCCCCTGAGGGTTCCAGGAGGTTCCCGGGGATGGGACGGTGCCGCACGGCAGGCAAACAACCCCTGCCGCCTCTGGGCTCCCTTTCGCCTCTTCCTCTTCTGGATCCTCTCTCCTTCTCCCGCTGGCTGCCTCTCTCGTGAAATCCTCCTCTGCTCCTTTGCCTTCTGAATAGCGTCTCCATGTCGCAACCCGAGGCAAGTTTTTAGGGCGGGCCGGGCGTTTCGCCTGAGACTTCTCCACCGTTTATGATTCTGAAGCGTAAAGATGGGCAGCAGTTTCACTGATGGAGGGCGGGTGGTTTTCAACATGTGGCTCTCGGCGAACATTCGTTATAAACATTTGCAAGAGTTCCACGGATCGAGGGCGACCAGTTTTCAAAATGTCGTTCTCGCCTGGGCGCCGCGCACATTCGTTCTAAACATGTGCAAGCACTTTTGAGGATTGAGGACAGACCGTTTTCAAAATGTGGCTCTCGCCTTAGCGCCGCGCATCTTCGTTTTGAACAATTGCAAGGGTTTCGCGGATTGGGGGCGGTTCCTTTTCAAAAGGTGGCTCTCGCGTTAGCGCCGCGCACATTCATTCGTCTTCAGCATTTGCAAGAGTTCCACGGATTCCCATGGTCAGCGTACCAGAAACGGTGTTTTGAAAGGGTTCAGGATTTTGCGGGTGCAACAGTTGCGTTGGAATCATGTTTTGACATGTTTCAGGGTGTTCAAACGGTTGTCTTCCAACGAGGGAGTTCCCTCAATGGAAATAAATCGTTGTGGGGGCCTGTGAAGAGGGAGCTTGGAGGGAGGGTGTATTCCAGCATCGTTGATGGCACTTGGGTTTACACTGGTCCTCCTCTTCCTCCTCCTCCTCCTCTTCATTATCCTCTTCTTGATCCTCCAGGAATGCCCCAGGCAAGTCACAGTCCATCGCGGTGATTACTTGAATAGAGTTTCTCTTGGCCGCTACCGCGAAGCCTACTGCCAAGCTGAGCTAGCCAAAACACAAGCTATGTTCTTGTCCGTTACCGGCGTAGCTGTATCCAGAAATTGAAAACCCCTCACTTCCATCCTCGTCTCTTTTGCACTCCTTTCCATGTGTCTCCTCCTCTTTATCTGCGGAGGCCGCCTACGGGATCCACTGGCTGTTTATGCAGCGGGAGCACCCGCGCTTCGTGGTCCTGGTCCTGGGCGACGTGGGGTGCCTCGGGCTGGCGACGAAGTTTTTCTCAACGATGGTTACGACAATTGGTTCTGCAGAAAGCACACGCCAAGCGGTCATATGATCATGCGGATGGATATGGTTTGGTAGACCCGGTTGCATCGTCCTTCGTTGGGCAAATTCTTTTCCTCCGTCTTTTCTCTTCTCATCCTCCGCCAGTCTCCTGTGGGAGAGGAGGGCCGACAATAGATAGATCCGCATCCGACCGAATGCGCCTTCAATTCAACAGCCCAGGAATGCCCGAAATATTCCAGCCACTCCTCCTGCCTCCCTGCCCCCGCATCAGGACGACCGATGATGGCTGCGAAAGGCTACGCTGCCTCGGTGTCTGATCGCTCTGGATCTCTCTGTCTCGCGGACCGGCCGGTGTCAGCGACAGAAGCAGCAGACTGCGTATGGGAAGTTCTCAGTCGAGTGCGGGTCGGTCGTCGGCACAGGCCGCCTAGAAAAGGCAGTTGTTTTCTTATTCATTGTTTTGCCGATCGGTGCGGGCCCTCGCAAACACCCCCTCTGCCCCCCTCCCCCTGGAGTGGATCCTGGGTGTTTTTGGCGCCTTTTTCAAGCAGGTGGAGTCTCGCCCCCATCAGACGAACTCTTGCAAATATTCGCAGCAAGCAGAGGTCTGGAGCCAGACCCCCCCCCTCCCCCCCTTTCCGCACAGTTTCGAAACGCCGACTCAAACAGCGTTCACATGTGTGGCTCCATGCGTTACTCCAGCCATTCCTCGGGCGTCCCTGTTTTGCTGGACCTCGGCTGTGTCTTTGCTCCGTTTTGGCGAAGACAGGCGGGGCAAAACGAGAAGCAAAACGAAGACAAGACGAGTCCAGCCCCGCGCCTCTGTTCCCTCCCCCATCAGCCTTGCCCTGCCTGTGGGCCCATGGCGCGCGCCCCGAGACACATGCGGCGCGCCCTGTCCTCCGCTGCCGCCCTCTCCCCCCCCTGGCCCCCAGAGGTTCCTGGAGCAACTCGGCTCAAAATCTGAGATTTTCTGAATTCCAAAACCTTCTCGTTTATGAATACCAGACACTTTCACTTGTTTTCTGAACTCCATGTTGTTGTGAAGTCAAGAACACCATTTTTGAACTCAAAAACCAACCTCCTCCATTATTTGTTTGATTCAGAATCAGTTGTCTTGAATTCCCCAAAGCAGTTGTTTCTTTGACTTCGAAAGCCCTCCTCCGCCATCCATGCCTCCTCCCGCTCCCCATCTTCTCCAACGTCTTTTTGTTTCTGCTCCTCCCTACTCCCTTCCCTCCTTCCTGCTGGGGTTGCCAGGCTGCCCCGCCGCTTCGGGGGCCTCTCGGTCCCCCTCTGCAGGCACTCGCCCCGCATGCAGTACCACGTGCGGTCGCTGGCGAAGCTGGCGGGGCGGGCGGGGCGGGCGGGGCGAGACGCACGCAAGTGCAGGCTGCTGGCCAGGGGCGGTGGGGGGCCAAGGTCTGACATACTCAGGCGATCGCAAACATGGATTAAGGGGGCGTGGATGAGCGAAGGGTCCCGTTTCCATACGAAATCGCGGATTTCCGCCGCCGAGCGAGGCGGCACCAGCCGCACTTTGGTGAGGGCACTTCCCCCGATCCATGCTTGCGCGCCCCCGACATATTAGTCACACAGACGAGCAGAGGACGAGGGGAAGAGGGGGCCGAGGACGAGGACGATGTAGCACGAGGAGGCGGAAGAGCAGCAGCAGCAGCGACAAGAGGAGGAACTGGGCTTTTGCTCGCTCCGCCGTGCGACCGTATGCGTGCTGAACCTGTTGGTTGTTCACGTCCTAACATACGACGTGGCGAAGCAAATGCAACATCGTAACAAAAACCACGCCTGGAGCCACGGACCCCATCTTTCTGTGCCACTGTTCGAGCCCGATCGATCTGCGAGGGTCTACCGCCCGAAATTGAGCGAAAACGCCCAGCTCGAAAAATTCGAGACGCCAGGATCTCAGGGCTGATCTTGTTCCGCTGCAGCGGCACTTGGGTAGCTTTCGTCGGCGCCTTCGCCTCGGAGGGGACCGGACCGAGCAGGAGGGGCGGAGAGGGCGGAGAGGGGGCGCCGCCTGCAGGGCTACGTGGACTTCATCGGGTATCCCGGCTCGGACCCTGTCAAGGACGTGAAGGCGCGCATTCTCCGTTCGGCGACGTCGAAGGGGGGGGGAGAATTACAGTGCGATGCGCGCATCAGGAAATCAAGTGCTTGTCGTCAGGATACCCTGGGTTCCCCCGCCCCGCGCGCTGCGCGGCGACTTCTGCGAAGTTCAAGAAATTGCTGCGTTCAGGGTGCTCCGGGTTCCGCTGCTGACGGGGGCGCGCAACAGGCGCGCCTTCGCCCTGTGCATTCCAACCGTCTCTTTCGTGACCTGCTTGCACCTCCCCAGAAATCCGACGCCGTGATTTGTTTCGTAATGTGGGTTCCTGGAGGACTCGACCCACTCCTTGGGGACAGGCTTGTCACCCTGAGTCATAATTCGACGGTCTCGAGGCTTGGTGAGGGTCCCCAGGAGCCGCAACCGGGAAAGACCCTTGCGTGTTTTTCTTGTTTCAGGAACCCCAAAAAACGACTCGAGGATGTCAGGGTCTGGTGGTAGGCCATTCCAGTTTCCATGCCCACTCCTCCTCTCAGCATCGTCTAACCTGCCTCCTTCCTCCTCCCTCCCTCCTTCCTCCTTCCCCTTCCTCCTCCCTCTTTCCTTCCTCCTCCCTCCTCCATGTCCACTCCTCCCTCCTTCCTCGTTCCTCCTCTCAGCATCGCCTAACCGATCCCCGTCCCCCCTGGGCCATAGCACCTCGGCCCCGCATGGGCACCCGCCCAGGTGGGAATACGCCGCGCGAATCCCGCAGGTCACAGCGTACACAACTATTCATATATGTATATATGTTATATACATATATATATATATGTATGGATGCAGACATTCAGGTGTTGTGAGTGGCACGTATATATATACATATATATATATATATATGTATATATATATACACAAACGCACACACACATATATATCTATATATGTGTGTATTTATGTGTATATATATAGGTACACCCACCCAGGGGCGTAGTGCGGCCAGCGTGGCCAGGGTCATGCATATACATATATATATATATATATATACACAAACGCATCTATAGGTACACCCACCCAGGGGCGTAGGTCGGCCAGCGTGGCCAGGGCCATGCCAGTGGGGCAGTGATCGGCCGAACGGTGCTCACCCCTCGCCCCCGCGCGCCGCCCTCGGCACCCGCCCCGGCACCCGCCCCAGGAGAATCCCAGAGTCCGCCTGCGCTACGTGCGGCCCTTCAGGAGCGCCGCGGCCAGAAGCGGCGGCCGAGACGACCCCCCTCACCCTCCCCTCGCGCGTCCGCGAAGAGCACCACGGGCGGGTTCGGGTCGTTTGGGGGGCTTACCCGGAGCCCTCGCCAGGCCTCGGGGAGCGTCGAGCCGCCCACGAGGAGAAGCGCCCGCCCCGGGAAAAAACACACAGTCTGTGGGGAAAAAACGCAGTCTGTGTGTGTGTGTTTTTTGTGTTGTTCCCCACAGTCTGTGTGTGCTCTATGTGTTTTTGTTCCCCACAGTGTGTGTGTGTGTGTTTTCCCTACAGTGTGTGTGTTTTCCCTACAGTGTGTGTGTGTGTGTTTGTGTGTGTGTGTTGTGTGTGTGTTGTGTTGTGTGTGTGTGCTGTGTTGTGTGTGTGTTTTTGCCCCAGGATGTGGGTCGAGGCGCCCTCCACGCGGCAGCCTCGCGCGCTCGTGCCAACGTGCGGCGGGAGGTGCGCGGCAGGTCTCGGCCACCGGGCAGCCCTGCCAGGCCCCGAGGTCGTCACCCATCGGCTCGGGGTAAGTCGGGCCTGTCCCCCTACAGGGGGGTTTTCGACGATAAATCGAAAATACCTCCAACATAATAAAAAAACACACATCCAAAAATAGTATGGGAACTATTTTGTTGAGTATGTTCTGTCCTTTTTGGACATTTTTGGGGTATGTTTTATTTTTCGTCGAAAATCCCCCCGTAGGGGGACAGGCCCGACGTAAGGCTCGGGACGTCGTTGGCTGGCTCGTGCTATTTCAGAAGCTCTCTCAGGCGACCTTGACGTCCTCGCGTGCTCGTGAAGAGTCACTGCGGGAGGCGTTCGGCAACTTTCGGGCTCCAGGGGCCCTCCAGGCCCCGCGGGGTCGTCAAACCATTGCGCAGAAGGAGAAGCCGATCCCCGGGAAGGGGTTCAGCCTTCTTGACGGCGGCGAAAACCGAATCCAATCTTCGCGGATCAACGTCATGAAACCCGATGCGCGGCGAGGGTAGGGTTCGGATGGCGACACTTATCTTGTCAGGATGCAGCTCCGAGGAGGTTTAATTCAGCATCGGCACTGGTGTATCCGTGGTCGGACACTGGCCTAATCCAGCGTCACCACGTTTGCATTTCCGTTTAATCCCGCCTGCTTCGTTTTGATCATAGGTTTGTGTTTGGTTTTGCCGGCTTTGCGGCTCCGTGATCGAGCCTAGTAGCCTCTAATAATCGTTCCCACGAGTCGGCGGCGAGTTGAAGGCGTATGTGAGAGGACTCGTTCTGGTCGTCGTCGTCCCCGTCGTCGTCCCCGTCGTCGTCCTCGTCGTCGTCCCCGTCGTCCTCGTCGTCCTCGTCGTCTTCCCAGTCGTCGTCGTCGTCGTCGTCGTCGTCGTCGTCGTCGTCGTCGTTCCGTCGTCGTCCCATCGTCCTCCTCCTCCTCGCCTCCTCTTCCTCCTCCTTCTCCCCTTCCCCCTCCTCCTCCTCCTCCTCCTCTTCCTCGTCCTCCTCGTCGTCGTCCTCGTCGTCGCCCTCGCCTGGCCTCGGGCAGCTCCGCGAGTAGGATGTGGGGGGGCTTCGCAGAACCACCCGCGCCTTCTAAGAAGCCGCTCGTGGTTTTCGAAGAAGGCTGACATGACAGGTCGCCATTGGGGTAGGCAGGGTCCTGAGGGAAGCGTGTCCTGAGATTTTTCTGCGTTTTCGGATTCTCGGGGCCCCCCACGGGCCCTAGGACTGCCAGAAAACGATTTAGGATGAAACATTCGTCCTGGGTGGAGGCCCCAGGGTCTGGGGCCCGTTCCCTTCGGGTCCCAGCCATACAGTGGAAACCCATGCCAAGAACCCACCCTGCCTGCCTCCAGGGCGCCCCGGGTGTCCCGGGTGTCGATGGTTCTGCGTTGGAGAGAGCGCGGCGCTCCCGAACCAAGAGCCGACGGACGTCGTGGGGTCTCAGAGCTGGGTGTCTTGTGGAAGGCGTCTTGTGGTCGAGCTCCTGCTGGAAGTCTTGCCCGCAGTCTGGGGACCGCGCCCCCCCCCCCTCGCCTCTCTGGAGGAGCCCCCTCGCCGTGCCCTACGTGGTGTACGCGGCCTGCCGCGTGCTCTGGGAGTCCGCGCAGCTCGCCTGGTTCCTGGCCGTCGCCTCCCGCCCGAGGGCCTTCCTCGTGCAGAACCCGCCGCCCCGCCCGAAGCGCTCCTCCTCCTCCTCCTCCTGCTCCTCCTCCTTCTCCTCCTCCTGCTCCTCCTGCTCCTCCTCCTCCGCCTCCCCCTCCTCCTCCTCCTCCACCTCCTCCCCCTCCTCCTCCTCCTCCTCCTCCTCCTCCTCCTCCTCCTCCTCCTCCTCCTCCTCCTCCTCCTCCCACTGTCGAAAAAGAACCGAAGGGGCATAAGCACAAAAAACTGTCGCCGCCCCGCCCGAAGCGCCATCTCGAGGTCCTCCCATTGTCGAAAAAGAGCCGAAGTCAGGATGGAAAAAACACACCGACACTATTATGTTTCGACTTCCGCGGAAAATATGGGAAACAATGGGACGTGGGGGGAAGACAAAAAACCAGAACATATGGGAAAATATGGGGAATATTTTTATCTGTGTGTATTTATTTGTGTGTCCCAGGGCCCCTTCAAGAAGGGGCATCAGCACAAAACTTTCGGCGACCCGCGCGGATGCCTTGGATCTGCGCTGGAGGCCCCTTGCGGGCTCCCCTCCCTGGCGCAGATCCAAGAAATCCACGCGGACCGTCGAAAGTTTAGGCTTCTGCCTCGTTTTTGTCGTTTGTTTGTTTGTTTTTTCATTCTGGAAGTCGTCTGCTCTCCCCCTCCTCCTGCCCCGAGATCCAGGCGTTGCGGTTCTCTCGCGCCTGGCGTCCTGCTCCCGGCCTGCGACCCCGGCACCACCGCAGATCGATCCGGTTGGAGAATGGCCGCAGCAGTATGGGATATAATGTTTCAGGCGTGACTTGTGCGATGTTGCACGTTTGTTTTGTTCGCAGCGTCGGATCTCAAGGATCCAGCTCTTCACTTTGTCCTCCTCCTCCTCCTCCTCCTCCTCCTCCTCCTCCTCCATCTCCCATCCTCTTCTCCTTCGTCCTCTTCCTCTCCTCCTCCTCCTCCTCCTCCTCCTCCTCCTCCTCCTCCTCCTTCTCTTCCTCCTCTTTCCCCTGGCGCTGACGCTCTTTAGCAGCTAGCTTGCGTCGCCCGAAGCTCTGTTCTTGAAGCCCGCGACGGGGCGAGGGACGCGTGGATCGGCAGGGTCGTCGTCGTGCGCCGCCGCCCTCCTCTCTGCGCTTGCGGCGTGGCCACGGCAGCGCGAAGGAGGGAACCGCCGAAGGGCGGCCAGCGGAGGCTGTGTTCCCCTCCCCCCTCTGGCGGGGTCGTCTGGGTCGGGGAGGCTGCGGCCCGCTGGCCAGAGGGCGTTTTTCAAGGGAGGCGCCACGCCTGTGAGCGGCTGGGGCATCGATTTCTCCCGCCGGATATATCGTGCAAGAAGTGCATGGGGTGTTCGCGCGCAGATCTGCGAGACGCGAGGCGCACGTGTTTCGCGGATGTCTGCGGGGACATCCACCCTGGGGGTCATGCCGATTCTGCAGTCGATCCCCTACCCGGAGTGAGCCTCGTCGTGCTGTTCCCTCCGACCCCATCAGGGAGGCCCCTGCCGATGCGCATGTTTCGCAGACTCGGCGGGGCAAGCAGTCCTGGGGGCAGGTCGAGGCTGTCCTTCGTCGATGCCCCGCTCGATGGGGCGCCTCGTCGCGCCGTTGTCCCCCACCACCCGACAGACCAGCGGCGCCGCCGCACTCGCCGGGGGCCGTCGGGAGGGGCCCCGCCGTCGCCTCGCGCCGCGCGGGGCAGGCGCCGGGGCGCGAGGGGCCACGGCCCGGGCGGCCGGCCCCGCGCGCTCGCTGTTTGGACCCCGGCGGGGGGCGCCCGGGCACGCGGCGGTGGCACCCTCCCGGGGGGCAGCGGCAGGGGCAGCGAGGGCGCGGGGCGCCCTCCCCTGTGCTGACCGGGGTCGTGGGGGGCCCGTCCCTCCCCCCCAATTCCTGGGCAGTCGAAGGCCAGACTGTCAGACTGGATTGGGCCCCAAGGGCCAATCTGGCCTGGCCATGTTGGGGGATTTGGGTTATTCGCCGGACTGGATTCGCGTTGGTTCCCTCGCCAGATTGCCCCCGTTTGCCAGATTGGGCCTGCCAGATTGGCGCCAGATTGGCTTCGACTACCCAGAATTCGGTGCAGGTGGCCTGTCCTGGGCACGGCGCCTCGGCGCTATGGGCGCGGCTTCCTGCTGCGTCACGCTCGGTCAGCGCGCGCCGGGCAAAAAGACAGGCACGGCGTTGTGAAGCTCGGTGCCTTGTTCGGAGTCCAGGTGTCACGGCGGCTCTACAGCCTCGGGACGCTCTCCGTCAGCTGCGCCTCGTTAAGGGTGTTCTGGGGATGCCCGAATCGTCCCGAACGGCCGCCGGAGAGCCGAGTTATAGAACGAAGACCACTTGGGGGTTGGGGATGGGCTCAGGGGGGGACGCGTCGACCCCCACTCGCCCATGGATATCGCCGATGGCGGCCCGATAGCCCCAACCTGCCCAGGGAGGTGCGGATTCACGATCGGGGGCCTGTCAACGATCCAGCGGCGACAGAGCGCCGATTCCAGGCGATGCATCCCCCCCATGCCAGTCCCCCCCTATCGTTGCTCTCCACCCACCCACGCCCTGGCATCACTCTAGGCCTCCTAGATGGCCCCGGGGTCGCGTCCTGGTCCAGGTTGGTTCAGCCCCGTGCGTTGCTGTTTGCGACAGCCTGGCGCTTCTCTGAGCGTGCCCCTTCTCTCCTCCTGCGGCGGCGGCCGAGGGGGTGGGTGGGGGATGAATGGCTTCCTAGATCCTAGATGGGGTCGTAGTAGATCGGGCCGGAGGATCGCGCCGCATCGCCGATGCATCGACAATGCGGTTCGATGCGGAGCCCGAATTGCTTGACGCCGACGTCGCCGATGCACCGCCGTCGTCGACGATTCATCGCTGCCGATGCATCGGCGATGCATCGCCGATGTATCGGCGATGCGGCGCGATCATCCGACTTCTAGAAAACCTCTGATCACCCCCCCTTGGCCGCCGCTCAGAGAAGAGAGAAGGGGCACGCTCAGAGAAACGCCAGGCCGTCGCAAACTGCAACGCACGGGGCTGAGCCGACTTGGACCAGGACGCGACCGCGGGGCCATCAGCAGTGGATTTGGGACGTAAGCCCCGGAGATCCCCGGAGATCCTGACAACTCAATCTTTTCTAGCCTGGCATTTTGTTGCTCAATATTGGGCCCCAGGACTCACAGATCGATCCGGTTCGAAACAGGGCGCAGAAAGATAGGGTCCCGGAATCCGGCCGTGATTGGTTGCGATGTGGCGATGTGCTTGCAACGTCTAGGAGGCCACATGCCACATGCGAACCCTACCTTACCACCCCCCGTAGAAATCGTCGGGTGGTGGGGGGTAGGTAGGGGGACGAACAATGACATAAACATCCAAATTCGGATGTCCGCGCGGACTTCTCGCATCGGCGCTGGACCCCCCCTTGGCGCGCGGAGCGCACCAGGGGGCGGCGCCGGAGGCGCCGCCAGGGGGCTCCCGCGCCGATCCGAGAAATGCGCGCGGACCTCCGAGTTGTTCTGCTCATGTCGTCGTCTGCTTCCCCAGTGGGGCTCGCCGGTGGCCTCCCGCGGCCGAGTCGCAAGGAAACGAGCTGCCCCTGGGGAGCAGGAGCGGCCGGGGCCTCGGCGGCCGCGCACGGGCCAAGAGCCGCGCCGGCGGAGCGCCGGGCGGGCCGCGAGGCGGGAGGTGCCGGGGCGCGCTCGGCGGGCCTGCTTGCCCCGGGGTGGTCTCCAGCCGTTGCGCCTCGCGGGGGGCAGGAAGTCGGGCATCTTTGCGATGATGCTTGGTCCATGTTCGAACTTTGGCCCAGCATCGGCCCGCAGGAGGACATGCCCGACCTAACAGGGGAGCACGCTGTCGCAGGCGACGTTGTCCCCCTCCAGGCCCGCGACTTCTTGGGTGGGCGCAGGCGGGGCCGAGGCCTGCGGCCGCGAGCTCCGAGGCCCCGAGCGAGTTGCCGCGGGCGAGGTGTCCAAACCCCCCTCCTCCCTCCTCCCTCCTCCCTCCTCCCTCCTCCCTCCTCCCTCCTCCCTCCTCCCTCCTCCCTCCAACGCATCGACGAGAATCGCGACGGGGGTTTTCCTGAGCTTTCGGCCTCTATAGGGGCCCTCGCCGGGCCCCGGGGCCGTGAGGAGACGACTCGGGAGGGAGAGCCAGATCTGGGGAGCGGGTCGAGGTTTCCGGGGACCGGGCATTGAAAGAGTCACGACATCGGATCTCTGGGCCCCCGACCTTTCGACGAAGAGTGAAGTCGCTCAGAAACAGAGGGAAATCGTGGGATGCGCCCCAAGGGAGCTACTCGGACGCACCCCATTTCCAGGATGGACGCCACTTCCGCGCACATCCCAGGGTTGGGTCCCGATTTGATGGCCCACTCGACAGCCCCACGAAGCCTGGGATAGGGGGTTTAAGTCGGGCCTCTCCCTCTACAGGAGGAATATCCAAAAATAGAAAAAATAGTCTAGGGACGACTTTTTGAGCTTTTGTTTAATCATTTTTGAGTTTGTTTGGGGATGTGTTTGATTTTTCGCCCAACATCCGCCTCCACGGGGACCTGCCCGACCTAAGGATAGGGGTCGACACATCCTGCGTGAAGTTTGATCCGCTGGACTTGGCTCATGCTCAGCCTCCGGGGGGCCGGGGGCCATCCACGGGCCTTGGGACCGTTTGGGAGAACAACAGCTCGGGAGGCAGACTCTCAGGAGGGAAAAAAACACACAGACACAATTAATTGGCGATTCCCCAGAAAATATAGGAAAATATGGGAAGTGGGGGGAAGACAAAAACCCAGAAAATACAGGAAAATATGGGGAATCCTTTCATTTGTGTGTATTTATTTGTGTGTCCCAGGGCCCCTTCAGACTTGCCCTGGGAAAGTGGTCCAGGCGTCCAGGAGCCCGCGCGTGTTCATTTTGAACAGGACTCGCTGTCCGCGCCGCCGCGGCCTGTGTCCATTTGAGACAGAAGGCCGCCTGCCCAACAGCGGCCGCTGTTGGTTTGGGACAACATTTGTTGTTGGGCATTGTACCAATTTTTTCGGTACCCATTTCGTGTGTCCAAATCCCAGGGCCCCGACGCGTGAAGACCCGGCAGTTTCGGTGCTTCTTGGAGGTGCTCAGGGTTCTTGCTGGCGGCTCTGGCTGGAGCCGGCTGGAGCATTCTGCAGTGGGGGCCCATGCCAAGAAGACACCCCGCGTGCCTCCAGGGTGCCCTGGGTCTCGTGGCTTTCGAGGGTGTCGCCATGGAGAGCGTGGCGTTCCCACACCAAACATCCACGGACGTCCTGGGGTCTCAGGGTGGGGCTTCCTGTGGGAGGTCTCCTGTGGTCGGGCTCCTGCTGTGCTTCAGCCTGCCCCCTCTCACTTCCGGGAAGCGAGAGGGGGCAGACGAGCGAGCCCAGAGGGCAAGTGACTCCCCCCTGGGAAGCCACTTCTCGTAAGTCGGGCCTGTCCCTCTACAGGAGGGATATTTCAAGCATAATCACCAGCATCGAAAATACTGTCCAGACACGTTCTTTGGAATCTTGGTGTTTGACATGTCTTAGCATGCTTTGACTGTTCTTGATCTCTCCTTCAGAATATCCGTCTGTAGGGGGACACGCCCGACCTAACCCGAAGTGGCCCATGACTGGCAGGGCGTTCGTCAATTATTCCCTCTCCTCCTCCTCCTCCTCCTCCTCCTCCTCCTCCTCCTCCTCCTCCTCCTCCTCCTCCTCCTCCTCCTCCTCCTCCTCCTCCTCCCCCTCCTCCCCCTCCTCCCCCTTGGCTCGCCGCCAAGTGTGGGGGAGCCCCGGGGCTCGCCGCCGAAGGCCAGGAGGCTTCCTCTCTTCAGCGCCCGCCGTGCTCGGCCTCCGGCCCCCGGCACGGCGCCGGGGCCTCTCGAGATCCGGGCGCTGGGCACGTCTTCGGGCTCCTCCTCCTCCTCGGCCTCCTCCTCCTCCTCCCTCCTCCTCCTCCCCCTCCTCCCCCTCCCCCTCCCCCTCCTCCTCCTCCTCCTCCTCCTCCTCCCTCCTCCTCCCCCTCCTCCTCCTCCTCCTCCTCCTCCCCCTCCCCCTCCCCTCCCCTCCTTCTCCTCCTCCTCCTCCTCCTCCTCCTCCTTCTCTTCGTCCTCCTCCTCCTCCTCGTCCTCCTCCTCCTCGTCCTCCTCCTCCTCCTCCTGCCCCCCTCCAACTTCTGGTTGCGGTGATGGAAACATGCCCATCAAGCCAGAGCGCCCGATCTTGCAGGATCCTGCAGGGCCTGGGTCGCATTGACCCGGGCTCGGGCGCAGGATCTTGCAGGATATCTTGCAGGATCCTGCGCGTGGACCCGGGCTTGGGTGGAGGATCTTGCAGGATCTTGCAGGATGCTGCAAGCCTGACTGACTCGGGTCTGGATTGATCAGGGTCAGAAGATCCCCGATATGGTTCGCGCCCGTTCTCGCCCGGCATTGGGCCCGGAGACCAGAAGGATGAAGTCTGGCTACAGTCGGACCGAGCCATACAATGATGTCGGGCATGTCTCTCTACAGGAGGAACATCCGAACATAGTCACAAAGCAATGTTGGGGACGATGTTATTTCTATTTCTGAGTATTTTGAAAAGCATTTTTGGACGTGTATTATTTTCCTTACGAGATCCGCCTGTAGGAGGACATGCCCGACCTAAGTATGAGATCGGGGTCGGTTCGGAGAGGGTACTCTAGTGTTCTTCGTGCTGGTTGGGTGTACCAGTGTATCCTGGTGAGGGTACCCTTGGATGTTCTGTTTGTTTTGGTCGACGGAGGGTCTCATGTTCTTCAGGGATGTTCTTCTGACCTAGGTCCCACTATAGAAGAGTGACCTTATGCTAGAGTGACCTCTAATGCGGGCCCACTGGTGCGATGTCATGGCAGCGGCGTGTGCGCCTGGCAGTGTCCCCAAAGGGCCGCCCCTTGGCCGAGCAAAGGGCACTCTGGTCATTCTTGCGTGTAGCCGGGGGATCCAGAACTCTGGGCGTCATGTTTCGCGGTGTTGCAGCATCTCCGTAACGTCGGATCGCAGGGACCATCATGATTACCTATACGACCACCCTTCGGGTGATAAGGATGCTGTGGGTGGGGGGAGAAGAGGGGGGAACCAACATGTGACTCTATCGGTCTCTCTATCGATCTTACTCAACGGGACACCACGGGGTACCACGGGACACCACGGGACACTTGTCGATCTCCTTATCGATCTCATTATCGATCACTTTTTGGGACACCACGGGACACCTTGGGGCACCACTATCGATCTCACTATCGATCTCACTCAACGGGACACCACGGGACACCGTGGGACACCGCTAGGGCCACTGCCGGACGGACGGACGGAGGAGAAACATTTGTCTTGACTTCGCTCTAGCAACGGCGGACACCACGGGACACCGCGGGACACCGCTAGGGCCACCGCCGGACGGACGGATGGAGGAGAAACATTTGTCTCGATTTCGCCCTAGCAACGGCGGGTTCATTCCTCTCGCGCGCCCCCGCAGCTTCGCCTCGCCCGCATGCACGACACGAACGAAACGAAACGAATTCCCGGTTGGGGGTCTCCGTTCCACTGCGATGTCACCCCCCAATTTCCGATAATCAAGCTGTGGCGAGGCGTCTTGGCTTGCCAATCAGCCCACAAAATAATGTTCGTTCTTAGTATAGTTCTGGCCTGGACCATCTTTTGTAATTAATCAGCCCTATGTTATAAGATCGTGATCTGTATTTTTAGGACATGCTTTATTTGAAAAACATGTCGTGGTAGCCCTAGAAGGATGCCGGGACGGCCCTTCCCTGCTCCACAGAAGACGGCTCGGGTTTGGCTGGTTTTTCATTACTTCCAGAGCCACCCGGCACCCGCATTGCGGAGAAGGAGGACGACGAGGAGGAGGAGGAGGAGGATAGCGGAGGCCACCGCTTGCCCGGGTGCAGGCCCGCCATCCCGTCGCTCCTCTGGGTGGCGGTCGCGTCCAGGCTGCGCGGGGCGCCGATGGTGGTGGATTGGCACAACTTCGGACCGAATGGGAGGGATGGTGGTCCTGGCATCTCAATGTTTTCGAGCCGGGCGTTTTCGCAAGGTTTCTGGTCCTAGGGTCATTCACGGATCGATCCAGCTCGAAAATGCCGGAGAAGGGTGGGATCTATTTTGGGCTCGTGTCGTGATTGGTTTATGACGTGTAGAATTTTACGCTTCGCGTGTCCCCACCAGCTCATTCAGAAGCCCCGCCCATGAGAGATGATTTGAAAAGGGACGAACAGACACATAGTGGACCAACGCGGGCAACCAGGGTGACAAGAGAGATCTTTGGGAGCAAGGGGGTGGCCATGAAGGGCATCTTCGGGCCATCCCTGGGGCCCGCGCCGCGCGGGGGCGAGGGAAGGAGGAGGAGGAGGAGCGGGAGGAGGGGGAGGAGGAGGACAACCAGGATGAGGACAAAGCCATCAAAATTGCCTCATGGACCCCTCTTGGGACTCTTTTTGGGGATCGTGGGGTCTTCTTGGGGCTCTTTTGGGAGCCCTGTCGGCTCGAGTTTATGATTGCAAGTGGGTCAGCTGCCCACCTAGATTTGCCTCCTGCCAGAGCGTTTCTCCGACCAGACACGCAAGATGCGGTTCAGCGTGGATGCATAGATTGAGAATCCTGGGCTGGAACCCGCAGAGCTGCACGGGCGCGAGGCAGGAGGAGATTGTCACAGAGTTACGGAATTTCGACGCGGTGCTTCTAGCTGGAACGCAGTCCGTAGATTACCGACAGAACCATACAGGCAGTCAGATACTCCGACGACGTGTAGCAGGACGACTGCTTCTCGAGGCGCCTTTTGGTCCCAGCCCGCACGCGAACTCTAGTTGTGGATGCGCTATCGTGCTCGGCGGGGGCCTGAAGGAGGACCATATTGTGGCCAGCTGGTGTTCTCCGCAGGAAGCGCGAGGGAGAGCGATTGCAGTTCGGGTCAAACGTGGACGACAAGATCTAACTTTAGTTTCTCTTTACTTTCCGCCTCGGGATATGCGACTCCAAAAAAACGAGCTTATTTCAGAACGGTACGGATCTTGCGAGACTGGCTCCAAGATATATTGGCCCAAACACCGACACGTTCAACACCTTTTATTTTCTGTGATTTGAATGACGGGATGGGTTTACAGAAGCGAGGCTCGGGCAGTGTGGATTTGCGTTCTGGTGCTATCGGTATCCCGACGTTGGAGCGCACAGAGGACGGAGCAGATGCACTGTTCCGAGCAGTTCTGGAGGAACACAGGCTTCTAGCAGGCAACACGGTGGGTGGGAGAAGCTCACCGACTTTCTTCGGCGACACATATAGCTCGCGAGTAGATTATTTCAGTTATCCAGCGGACATGGACGCTATGACTATCACTTGTGGCACTATCCCGAAGTTGGGTGCAAAGTTACAACTACAACGTGGTGCGGCTCCTAGAGATCACTTACCACTGGTGTGCGTCATGAATTATGCTAAGTATTCTCCTGAAGTCAAAACGGAACCTATTTTGCGATGGGACCGAGACGCGCTTATGATGGCCCTCAAGAAAGGCACCCACAAGCGAGAGTTTCTTGAACACGTTCGTGATTCACTACAGACGGTGGACCCGAGATACATCAAAGAGAGTGCATCGCCAGACGATATCTTCGAGACGCTGGAAGGGCATTTGATTTCGGCAGGTGAGAAGTTTTTTACCACGGCTATGCGGCCGCCTCTATGCGAAGACTATTCGCAACACTGTGCTGATCGCCGGTGTTTGTTACAACAGCGAACAGTGATCAGAGCAGGAAAGTTCGAGGGCAGCGAGGACGAGGTGAAGCAGATCGACGCAGAGCTGGCCAGACTGACCAAGCAGCTGAAGATGGCCCGCATGCAGTTTCAACGTCGACGTCAACGGCAGCTCTTGGACGAAGCTAATGAGATGTGGAAGCAGAGGCGCGCAGCGGAGGCCATGAGGATCACACGCCTGGCAGCACGAACGAGGATCGGCCCAAAAAAACGAGACGGAGCACTCATTCGGCCAGGTATTCTTCCTGCTCGCCAGTGGCTCGAGGTTTGGACATTGCCAGGCCATGAAGGTGGCATGGCCGTGCAGCAAGTCGAGTGGGAGGCTCTTCGTGAGGATCAAGAGGGGCACTTTCAATGGCTTCCTGATGCTGAGCTCTTTGAATTGGCAAAGGCAGATTATTCAGCGATTCTCTGGCACACGATTCGGGCACAGAAGCGCAAAGTGGTTCCCCCTGGGGCCGCTCCTTTAGAATTGTGGCACATGTGCTTCTTGCCCAAGCCGAGAAAGGATGCCCCGCAAGTTGCAGGGGTTGGAGCCTCTGATGAGCCCCCGAGTACTTTAACTTTTCAGTTCATGGTGAACGTTGGCCTGGCAAAGATCAGGATGCACCAGCAGACTCCATTGTATTGGCACACCAGTTCTGCCTGTGGATTGCGCAAGTCTGGCCTCAAGGGGCCCCGAGGGCGCCGAGTAATTCACATCCTTCCAACGGTTAGTAAAGGGTACTTCGGTCGTCGATTACGTGGGGAGCCATCGGTCATGGACTACGGGTTCGTCAAAGGGCGTCGTCGGGAGGAGGCGGTTTTATGTTCGCAGCTTATGAGTCGTCGACTTCGGGAGGGAGGTTTCACGCACGCAGCTTGTTTGAAAGATCTAAGTAATGCATTCGGCAGTACACACCACAACACATTGGACCAAGTTGTTGAGCTTCATGCGAAGCCAGAGGATTATCAGATCTGTAAGCAGCGCTTTCGGCAGAGCCTGATTCGATTTGAAACAGCAGATGGCCCACTTTTAGTCAGGCCCCGACAAGGTGGCTGTATGGGCGACCCGTTTATCGTCTCTGCCTTCGTGGGCGCCTTTAACTTTCCGATTCTTACGTGGGGGAGGGAATTGAGGACATGGGATACCAGATCGAAGCTATTGGTGGGGGAATGGAAGGGATGGAAGGTAGATACTTCACTTCAGAAATACGCAGATGATTTGAACAAGCTCGTTATTGCTGATCCAGGAGATTCGTTATCTTCCTTTTTGGACAAGCTAGTGCAAGTGGACAGGGACCTAGACGAGGCCCTTTCCATGCATGGGTATGCGCAGAATGCCAGCAAGCAGGAGTTTCTTGTACACTTTGCCCAGCGGGGTCATCTCGGACGTGCCAGAATCCGAGCGGGTGATCTTGCGTTGAAGGGAGCTGTACGGGAGGAAGCTCGTTACCTGGGGCCATTCATTACCATGCGGGACTCGGCTAGGAACGAAGTTGTTCGTAGATGCGCTGCTGCACGTACTGGTTTTCACTCTCTTAGTGGAATGTGGAAGCTAACGGGACTAGCGAGGAGGTGGAGGAGATGCTTATTCATCGGGTTTGTTCAAAACGCTTTGCTATCTGGTTTGGAGAGTTTCCCGCTGTCTAAATTCGACTATGACATCCTGGACTCGTGTTTAAGCCGATTGGGGAGAGCTGCAATGGGTGGGAAAGCGGCTAACTATGAGGGGGAGCATATCACGAGCCTCATTAATAAAGAAATCCTATGGTTCTGGAAAATACTTCCCTGTAACCAGGAGATGAGGATTAGGCGCCTAAAGCTTTATCAGACGTGGGGTCGACGTCCTGAGCACCATACCCAGGTGCTAGTTGCTCTTTTCGGGGAGTTTCAGTTCGACACTAGGCCGCAGCTTTGCGCAGGACGTCCATCCCAATACGCCTCGCCGTGGCTGCAGCAAATGGCCGCGGACTTGGGCCAAGCAGCAGAGTTATTGCCAGATTGCATGATCGAGCCGATTGCTTTGAATCTAGCCCTCTTCGCTGACAAGGAAGCGATGGATGTATGATTGATTTCACGGAGCTGAGGAGACGAGAGTTCGGCAGGCGGATCCCGCCACCTGGATTCCAAGAGCGGGCTTCGTCACCAGTTGTCGTTCCGCCACATGAGCGGGACCCATCGGAAGCCTTCATATGCAGGCATAGTAAAAATGGGGTTGAATGCGGGGCCAGTTTTCTTACGAGGCCAGCGTATTTATCACGCATAAAGTCGGCACATCATGTTCGTAACCTCTACTTCGTTATCACTCCGACGAATACTTGTATCAGTTGTCGTCAAACATTCGCATCGCAGAGAACAGCAGCACAGCACTTATCGCGCGCACTTAAACGTGGGCACTGCCAAAGAGAAGCAGCACGCACCCTCCTTCCTCTCAAAATGCCCAGATCACTACAATGTTTATGCTGTGAATACGAAGGAGGCACCCTCGATGATCTTTGCAGCCATCTCGTGTCGAACCACTTGCCAGGCAGTATTGGACCGACCCCAGAGAGCCAACCAGCCAGCAGATATGCCAGAGGGGATGGACCAGGAACCGAAGCTCGTCATGCCGTCGTGGTGCAGCCAGTCCATCACCGCTGGAGGCGGGCGCAAACCAGACGACCAGGAGGAAAAGGGCGAGGGCGCGGCCAGGGACAAGAAGAAGCACAAAGGCGGCAAGGACGACATCATGCTGCCCATGGTGAAGCTGGTGCTGACCAACACGAAGGACATCGCCGACCTCGGCGCCCTGCTGTACACGAAATGCGAACTACCAGTGGCGGTGGGAGTGGTGGCGGTCAGCCAGCAAGCAGGCAAGAAGTACAACGACGACTCGGCGGCCCTAAAGGCAAAGGAAAAGGCAGGCGAGAAGCAGGATCACAAGTCGAGGGGCGCGGCGCACGTTCAGATATTCATGGCAGCATTCGGATACGGAGCTACGAGGACGGCGTCGGCAGGATCAACGCAAACGGAGGAAGCCAAGCTGAGCGAGGAGATGCTGCAGTTCTTCAACGAGGTGCTGAGCAAGTTCGACGGTCCGAACGCTGTCGGCCAGCTGATTACGCACTTCAGGGTGAAAGTACACAAGAAGGAGGAGGGCTCGACACCGATGTGCACACTGATGTGGTACGCGGACCCACGCCACAGCCACTGCACGGAGGTGCAGAAGTGGCTCATCAAGCTCGTGGAGTTCGAGGGTGGCAAGAGGCTGGTCGGCGCCCCGCCGCGCGGCCCGCTCGAGCGGATCCTCAGCAAATATGTCGACGAGCACTCGAAGAGGTAGAGGGACCCCCGAGAGACCTACAGACGAGTTCGCGCCTGGCTGAGCTGAGGTCAAGAGGCTTTGTTCTCCCCCCTGCTTCCTCCTCCCTTCCGTCCTCGTCTTCGGCTCCTCCTCTCACTCAAAGCTCGAATACACAGCAGGCAGTTTTTGATCCCCCGAATTTTTTGGACGGCCCTCCGACAGTAAATATCCCTAGGAGGCCGCGTGGAGGGGGGAAAGGAAAGCATGGTCGCTCGAGAGGTAAAGGTCCCAGCAAAGGCAAGGGTCCGCGTACCTTAGGCTAGCCGAGCCTCCGGGGTGCTGCGTGCATCGGGCTTGTGCTGGCGGGGTCCGTGCGGCATCTGGCCGAGAGTGGATCGTATCTTTTTAGCAGTTTACGTCGGCTTCGTAGGTTAAGCCTCCTCAGGGAACAACCCCGTGGGCAGTTAAGAGTGCTACGCTTTTTCGCTTCGATTTCGCGTTGCCAGTGCTCTCCTTCGGATCTGGTCCTCATGAGCTAGAAAGAAAGAAAGGCTCTTTTGGGGGGTCTTAGGGCCTTCTTGGGGCCCTCTTCGGGCTCTCTTGGGGCCCTCTTGGGAGCCTTGTAAAGCCTCTTAGGGCCATCTTGCAGGGCATCGATCAAAGGAGGGGGGTCCCCGATGTACGTCTCCCCCTGGAGCCATCACCATATCGCCTCTTGTGGCGCTCTTGGGCCGATCTTAGGTGCTCTTGGCGTCGTTTTTGATGCTTCTTGCGCCCCTCTTGGGCCTCTTTTGGGCCGTCTTGGGGCCATCTTGAAGCTTCAATCGCGCATCGGAAGCGACATCATGCATTTTCCTGATGTGCTGGAAGGATGTTGGCCTCTTGGGAGGGTCCTGAGGAGGAGCTCCAAGAGCACTTTAAACGGTCTTGCGGCCATGGTCGGGCCTCTTGGAGGTATGTCGGAAGCTATCTTGAACCATCTTCGGCCACAGTGGAGACCCATGCTAAGAAACACCCTGATTGCCTCCAGGGCGCCCTGGGTTTCCTGGGGTTCGATGGTGTTGCGATAGAAAGCGTGACGTTCCCACACCAAAAACCAATCGACGTCCTGGGGTCTCAGGGTTGGCTTTCTCGTGGAAGGCTTCTTGTCGTCGAGCCCCTACTCCATCTTGGAGCATCGGCGTCAGGTGGGAAAAACACACTGACACAATTAATCGTCGATTCCTTAGAACATATGGGAAAATTTTGGAAGATGGGGGGACGACAAAAACCCAGAAAATATGGGAACAGATGGGGGTTCTTTTTATTTGTGTGTATTTATTTGTGTGTCCCAGGGCCCCTTCACGGAGGCCTTCTTGGAGCTGAGGCTCCAGCCGTGACAGTGTATGGTGGCCGACCTGTTCGTGCCGCCGGATCTCGGGGGGTCGGAGAGCCAGGCAGGGCAACAGAGGAGGAGGAGGAGGAGGAGGAGGAGGAGGAGGAAGTTGAGGAGGAGGACGACGACTTGGACGAGGAGGAGGAGGAGGACGAGGTGGAGTAGGAGAAGGAGGAGGAGGAGGAGAAGCAGGAGGAGGAGGAGGAGAAGAAGGAGGAGGAGAGGAAGGCGATGGGGGAGGAGGCGGAGGATCGAGCCCTCCCAGCGGGGCCCGAGTAGACGGGATCGGGGGATGGATTCCGCCGCATCGCCGACGCATTGGCCATGCGGCGCGATCCCGAGTCCGATGTTCTCCGTCCCGACCCGACGTCCCCAGTGCACGGGCGATGTGGTGCGATCTTCCGACTTCCGACCCCACCTTTTCCGGCCTTTTTCGTGAGGCCTCTAGAGGAAGGGGATTCGAAGGAGGCGGCAGGAGGCAGAGGTGGCCACAGCCTGCTTGTGACCGAGCCCGGGAATGCGGGGAAGGAGAGCACGGGTGATCGATGGGTCTTCGCTTTGAAGAGACATCGCCCCGTGTCCTCATCCTTTTCTCTCCACCTTTCCTCCTCTCCTCATCCTCCTCCATTCATCATCGTCGTCATCATTATCATCATCATCATCATCATCATCATCATCATCATCATCATCATCAGCATCAGCATCAGCATCAGCATCAGCATCAGCATCAGCGTCATCGTCATCGTCATCGTCATCGTCATCGTGATCGTCATCAGCAGCATCAGCATCAGCATCAGCATTGGCTCAAGCTATTTTTGCTCAGGCCATTTTGGCTCAAGTGGACGCCGAAGGCTCAAACACTGCCTTGGCGCCACCGCGCTGCCGGCCTCGCGGCACCTGCTCGCATCGGAGAGGCCGCCAGCGGGGGCGGCTCGCGCTGGCTCAGTGGCTGCAGCGGCCTCTGCGCGTATCCAGGCTGGACGGGGTGGCGCCCCCCGTCCACCAACCGCTCTGAGCGGGAAGAATTTCGAGCGCCCCAACAGTACCGAAACTCAAGGGTTTTTTTCGTGTCGGGCCCTAGGAAACATTCGCCCGACACTGTTTCGACACTGTTTCGACACTCTTTTGACACTTTTCCGGGTGCTCGAAATTATTTCTGGGACGTGGTTCTTAAGTAGGATGGGAACAACCCAAATACAAGGCTGGTTCTTTGTTCCATGTATTTATTAGTTGTTGTTTGTACCTGCAGCGCCCACTGGAAGGGATGGATGCATGGCAGACACTGCAACGACGACGACAGCGCGGAGGGAAAGACGCCCCGAGGCGTGCCTTGGCAATGGAGCTGCTGGAGTCTTTCTTTCGCCAACCTCTGCGTCGCGGGAACAAGCAGCGAGGCGACGCCGCGAAGCAGCCGGGCCAGCAGTGGCAGTGCCGCCGCTGCAACGGCTTGCCCAACGACCTGACCCGCGACTGCTGCCGCGGGTGCGGTGCAGCACGCCCAGCAGGCGTGCGGCGGGGTGGCCCGGACGGCCGCCCCACCCCTCCCGCCCGGGGCGCGGCCGGGGGCGTGGGCCATCAGCACCCGAGTGCCGCCAGCGCTGGGGCGCCGGGCGCGACGACCGTGCCGCCCCGCCAATGGCCGGCGCGGCCGCCGTCGCCGGAGGAACGTGCGGCAGCGGCAGCCGGGAAGACGGCGGCATTGGGCGCCGCTGCGGACCTGCTGCGCGGCGCAGGCTTCGACGAGGAGGCGGACGCACTCCGCAAGGCCGCGGCACGCCTGGCCAAGGACGCGGCGGGTGCGAAGCCAGGAGCCCGCCTGGACTCCTGCGAGGCGTTCGTCTCTCGGGCGGAGCGACGCCTCGCGGCTGCACGCGCGGACGTGGACGCTGCGGAGGCGGCGCTCGAGGCCGCTCAGACGCGTGCGGCTGAGCGCGACGTGGAGCTTCAGGAGGGCCAGCGGCGTTCGGCGGGGGCCCGGGAACCCCGTTTCGTTCCCCCGCCGCGTTTCGGCCGGGGCCCGGGAACCCCCGGCGCGTGCCCGGGGGGGCCGGGGATCGGGCCAGGACGCTATAACGGTCCTGGCCCGATCACCGGCTGCCCCTCGGCGGGGGCCGGGGGGCGGCCCTTGGCGCGGCGGCTAGCCTGGCGTCGTCGACGTTGCGCGACTGCCCGACGCCACTGGCCGGGGCGGACAGCGCCGACCTCGCCCTTGGCCTGGAGCCGACCGACCCCGGCTGCCTGGAGCCGTCGGAGATCCGCGGCCCCGAGCGGCCGCCCGGCTGCTGGGCCCGGGGAGGGCAGCTCCTTGAGATTCCAAAGTTGTACTATAATGCCTGGACGAACTATAGATCAACCCTATGATTTCCCTGGGCCGCACTGTAGAGCAACCCAGGATTTCTGAGTGTATTGTACTTTTTGTCGTTAGCGCATCCTTCTTAAGATCCCCTGAGTGAGGGGCATCACATATCATATCCGCACATGCGCGATCCGTAGCAGCGAAGGCTCGAGTGCATCGCACTTTGTTCGCGCATTTCGCGCGGGCGCGGTCAACATGGCCAAGGACAAGCAGATGCAGATACGGTCTTCCGCGGTGAGCGCCGATCAGTTGAAGGCGCTGGTGAAACAGCACATTGGCTTGATCGAGTGTTGCCAGCTGAAAGGGGACACGGATGAGTTCATGAAGAACAACATGCTTCACCCCCATGGGCTTGCAGAGCACACCGCGCGCGTCAGGTGGAAGAGCTTCCAGAGCGCCGTGCTGCAGCTGAAGCCGAACATGCACGCGGATGGGCGCAGGCGTTTTTGCCGGGAAGTAACCAATTCATTCAGCCACGCGTGCAACAAATTCTACCAGGCGAGGACGGGGAGCAAGTTGGATGCGCACGTGAAGTTGCCGGGCGAAGCCATGGGTTTGAAGTTCGGGAAGGATAGCCCAAGCACAGCGGGATCTAAAGGCAAACGCGCCGACGACAGCTCCGACCTGGAGGTCTCGCCTTCCGCCGCGTCGTCCAGCGCTCCTGCGGCCGCCGCGTCGCCCAGCGCTCCCGCGTCTTCCAGCGGGCACTGCAGGCGCGATGTCATCAAGAACGCGCTCGGCATCAGCCCCCCTCCGAAGCCGAAGAAGCAGTAGGTTGAAAGCAGCCCCGCGATGGTGTTCTCGTCGCAGGACGTCGGCATGTCGGAGGGCGAGTTCATTGAACCGCCCGCCGCGGACGCCCCGAAAGAGGATCGATCGGAGGGGGGCAGAGGCTGGAAGGAGGGGGAGAAAGTGGGAGGAGGGGGAGGAGGAGGAGCGGCATGGTAGTTTTGCCTGTTTTTGATCCCGCTATGAGGAGGGGGAGGAGGAGGAGGAGCGGTATGATAGCGGGGGAGGATAACGCGCACCTGTGTTTGATCCCCTCCAGGAGGGGCAGTAGATTGTGGCGTCGTGCGTTCGAGTAACCCCACTGGGGCAAAGAAGTGTCTACCCGCCCAGGATCCCCTGGCGAAGTTCTTCGACTTCAATTCCGATCCGATGTGCTTGTTGCTGAAGTTCGCGGACAGGGGGGGGCGGGGGGCGCTGGCCAAAGGAGACGATGGTTTCTTGAAAGCGGTGTTCCCCGACGGCAGGGAGGAGAAGACGGAGCAGCCCAACGCGCTGCTTGCAGCGAGGGCGGTGGGGTCGAAGGCGAAGGCGAAGGCGGTGGCAAAGAGGGGGGAGCCAGCAGCCACGGTGCTCAAGAAGCCCGCAGTGGCCAAAAACACCAGCAGGCGCTCAACCGAAGCCGCTGGTGGAGAAGGATGCGGAGGAGAAGGGGGGGGGGGGGGGGGGGGGCAGCGGGGCCCCGACGTCCCCGTGGAAACAGATGCTGTCGACGCCGCGCCCCCCGCTGTCGGCGGCCCCCGAGGGCGCGGCGCGATGTATTACAAGAAGGGCCGCGCCATCGGGTTGAGGCGGAAGCACGGCGACAAGAACCAATTCGCGAGTTTCGGCGGGAAGAGGTCCAAGGACACCATGGATGAGGATGCGCTCAGGGAGATTTGGGAAGAGCTGAAGGCGGCTTTGTCTGTGGGCACCGCGACGGAGGAGGGGGCAAAAGCGGAGGCCGACCGCTTAGTAGCACAGCGCGTAGATGGCTAAGAAATCATCACCGCATCTATCAGCATCACACCCATCATCATCACATCCATCAGCATTACCGTCGTCTTCGTCGTCTTCTTCGGTTGTCTGACAAGAGAGAGGCGGGGCCCCTTCATCGCAGGGGCGCGCGCCCCGTCGCGAGGGGGGGCCCCTGTTACGGGGCGATCGCGTGACAGAGTGCAACGCCATTGAAAGCAGGGAAACCCTTCGAGGGTGTTTGAACAGAGCATTAGCAGCGCCCCCACGGGCGAAGGGGGACCCCCCGTGGGAGGGGGCCGCCACGGCATGTAAGTGAAACAGGCGGCGCATTTAAGATAAGGCAAGATGCGTGGCCTTTCGCTCCCTCCTGGGGCCCATCCGTCTTCTGTTTGATTTTCTTGTTATCTGCAACCGTTTGATAAAGCTGGCAACCAGCCACGCCTGGGGGGCCGCCCCCCGCCCCGACGCGAGCTCGCAGCCATGCGGGCGCTCATCCTGTGCTTCTCGGCGCCCCAGGCCGCGGGAGAGGGAACAGGTGGAGAGGAGGTGGCAGAGGGAGGCCCCTGTGGGAGTGGAGTGGGAATTCGAAAGTATAAATTGTTCTTGACTCCCAGGCCTGCGCCATGGTGGCGCCTGGCGCCTGCGGCGGCGGACTGCCCGCGGGCGACGGCGGCGGCGGCGGCGGCGAGCGGCCTCACGAGGGCGCGGGGGAGGGGGCGGTGGATGGGGGGAAATCGCGCGAGGAACCCCTGCGCGAGGGGATTCGCTAGCAGATGCCCCTGTCAGAGAGGGGAGATCGATTGAAACTTGTGCAAATGACGATTTGATGTCCCAGCTCCCAGGAGGACGGCTTCGCGCCTGACTTCGGCGAGGGGTCCGAGGAGGAAGAGTTCGAGAAGGGCGCGAAGCAGCGGTGGCTGAAGTACAGCCGCTCCGAACACCGCCTCTGGCTTCGCCAGAATGCACGCAGATGCTGGCAGCGCGGCAAGAAGAGCTACTACGCCGCATGCGTGGCGAAGCCCTGCCAGGAGCACCACGCGACGCGGTGGTTCCACGAGCGGGGCGACGCTGACCGCAACGGTAGGCGGTGGCGCGGCGGCAAAAGCGAGGCGGGGCGAGCGAGGCGACGCAAGGGTAAAATATGTTCCGACCGGGGTGTGAACCTAAAGACCCTTCAGCATAGGGGATTTGTTCGAAGTTTGATGTTCTGAGGGCATTTTTTCGTCGATGCTAACTAACTCTGCACCCTGAAGGCACCGGCAGCGCAGATGCGATGGCAGGGAGAACTTGCTGCGCGACATGCTGATGGACCGTCCTCCCCCCCTCCCTCCACGCTGACGAGAAGGGATCGACCCCTCCGATCCCCTGTGCAAGGGGTGAAATGCAAGGAGAAACCCCTCTCGTGAGGGGGCGGGGTGAAGGAGAGTTAACGCAACGAGAACACCTGATCGTGATGGGGGGCTGAAGTAGTTTGCGCCCCGAGGAAATGGACGGCGCCGCAGGAGTAGCGGAGAGGCAGCAACAACAGCAACAGCCGCCCCTACAGCCAATGCCACCGCCGTTCCCACCGCCCGCGGCATTGCTGGCAGCAGCAGCACCCGCCGACGCAGCTGCAGGAGGAGGAACAGCAGCAGCCGCAGCAGCAGCAGCAGAACCGCCCGCGTGTGCAGCAGAAGCGCGCGGAGAAGCAGCAGCAGCAGCAGCAGCTGCACCGCCACTCCAGGCGGACGAAGCGGAGCACGTCGAGTCCTCACAGTGCGACGAAGAGAGCGAGGAGGAGTCGATGGATGAAGAGGCGGGCGAGGAATGCGACGAGGAGATGCATCGCAGGGTTACTGCCGAGCTGAGGAATCGCCGCGCCAGGCTCCAGCGCCATCTGGCGGAGGCAGAAAATGTTGCAGCAACCCTGGACACGATCGAGGAACGCACGCGGCAGGCAGCAGAGAGGAGGGCGCAACAGCTCATCGCCCGCCAGAGGCGGCTGCAACAGACACAACGAGACGCTGCGATGAGGAAGGGCGCCGAGGAGCGAGCCGCGCGAGCCGAAGCAGCTCTCAAGGCAGAGAGGGGAGCAGCGGAGGCCGAAGCGGCTCTAAAGGCAGAGAGGGGCGCGAGAGCCGCGGCGGCTGCGCAGGCCGCGGGGGGGCGAGCACAGCGAGCGACTGAGGGGGCGGAGCGAGCGCAGCGAGCAGCTGAGGAGGCGGCGAAGGCAAAAGAGGCCGAAGAAGCAGCGAAGGCGCAAGAGGCCGAAGGAGCAGCGAAGGCCGAAGCAGAAGCGAAGGCCGCGAAGGCCGCAGAAGGACAGGGGAAACCCGCGAAAAAGGCGCGGAAGGGGGCCAAGGACAAGGGCGCAGACAAGAGCAAGGGCTCCGGGTCGAAGCGGCAGAAGAGGAGCTAGGACAGGTTCTCCTCCTCATTGTCGTCCCCTCCTCCTGCTCCTGCTGGACGCCAGCGCCCCCATCGCCATGATTTCTGTTGATGCTTCTCCGCAATGTGTCTCTCCCATTTGTTTTCGCATCCGCCCGAGGACACCGAGCCCTGAGGTCGGCGCGCCCTGAGCCGCCGACATCCACATGCAGGAGCGCGATATCTCGCGCCAGAACAACAGACGACATCGTCATAAGTGAACCCCCTTCACCGCAGGGGATCCTCATCAACCCCTCTCAGAGGGGCAGATTGAAGGCCAGACCGATTCTCTTAAGGAGAGATTCTCTTAAGATAATTCTCTTAAGAGAACTCTCTGAAGACAATTGCGAGGATGTACCAGGCGAAACCAACGATTCTCTTAAGAGAATTTTCTTAAGATAACTCTCTTAATATAATTTCTCCTGTAGGATTTGCTTGCAGCGGGATCCAGATCTGGGGTCGGCCCCTTGTTGAGGGGCAAGCGTTCGCTTCTGAAACGGGGCGGGGTTCGATGTAGCCATGACGAACCCCATTGCTGAGGGGAAGGCCCGCCCTCACGAGAAGGAAGGGGGGGGATGGATCCTTCCCCGTGGGACCGCGCTGCCCCTTTGCGAGGGGAAGGGCCCCTCTGGGAGGGGAAGGAGACCCCTCGAGGGCGTCGAACCCCTTGGGGGGGAGAGGAGCGAACCCCTCTTTGAGGGGATGCCTCGACGACGCCGACGACGGCGACGACCAACTTGCAATCCATTCGCAGCTGTTGCGGCTGCAAGGCCATCGGGTTCGCTTAGATTCCTCTTTCAATCGCTGAGTACGCTTCCGCACACAGCAGCCATGGGCGGCCCTGCCAGCATCGCTCCTCTGCTCCTGGTGGGCAGCCTTCTCTCGTCGTTGTGCAGCATGGCCGCGAAGAGGAAGCCCGATGGTCCCCCTGCAGGCAAAGCAGCGGCAAAGAAATCGAAGGCTGCTCCGAAGGGCGAAGGGCTCGACAAGCAGGAGGCCGACAAGATGAGGTCGTGGCTCCGCTACCAGTCCGAGAAGAAGGACGCCAACGGCAAGTCCACGTCCAGCGCAGAATCAGCCAAGGCGGCGCAGGCCATGTGGAACGACATGAAAGATCCAACCGGTCGGAAGCGTTTCTTGCAGCCTTTCGCAAGCGACAAAGAGAGGGCGCTGGACTGGTTGGCCACCTTCGAAGAGAATTGCACGAACGAGGAGGTGCACGCCAAGACTGCCAAGGGGGGGTACCAGAACGCGTCGCAGGCGCTGGCTCTCAAGAGCCTCCGCATCGCAGATTTGAGCACCATCGAGGAGGCCATGCAGTTCGCGCAGGACTGGCGGGGGGAGAATAGCGAGGAGCATGGAACCAAAGAAGAATACCCTGTAAAGGAAGATCCAAAGAACAGACCTCTATGGAACCAGTGGTACTTTGTGGAGCGCAACATGGGCGATGACAAGCTGGTGACGACAGATTCCCGCAGCTTCAAGGGATCACCCAACTTGAAGAACATGAAGCAGCTCGAAACCGCGGGCGCCAGGATGTCCCAGCTCTCGTCGCCCAGCTCCGGTGGGCCAGCGGAGGGGGAGGTGAAGCTCGAGAATCCGCACTGTCCGCAGATCACCAGCAAGAAGGAAGAGATCGCGCGCGGCCCTCGGCAGCCGCTCCCATCGGCACTTCCCCCTTTTCTGTTCCGCCAGGCCCCTATGATTATGATGAGGGGTGCCTTCATTCGTCTCGCATGCTGCCCCTCCTGGAGGGGATCGTCCGCTAGTCTTTTTTCCATCAATGCTGATTTTGTCGTTGTGTTCCCTGCTGAGGTCAACGCTCTTCAAGCATCAGAAGCAGCCCAAGGAGATGAAGCATGCGAAGGCTCAGTTGCTCGCGAAGGCTGCAGATCAGGATCAGAGTGACCGCACGCAGTACGAGAACTGGGCGAATGAATGCAAGAAGTGCGTGGACAACGCGGATGAGCACGATGCGAAAATGGAGATCGCCCTGGCAAAAAACTGACAACGCTGCCTCTGTCGGCAAGGATCCGGAGATGTACGTGAAGCTGAAGGACGAGGCCTTTGCCGCCCACAGCACGATGGAGCACATGTACGAGGGGATCCAGCTGTCGCTCAAGCGCTTCAAGAAGTTCCTCAGTTTTGCTGCTGGCATCAATACATATCCACTGTCACTTACATGCGTAGGGTGGGAAGTACTGCCTCGCCCGACAGCTGTCGCGTTCATTGCAGCATGTGCGTCGGCCCATATAAAAAATACATCGCGCCAGTATCCTTTCTCGCAGAAGACCCCTTCGCGCGGGGCCGCGCGTTTCTGCGCCTGCCCCGGTTAAAATGTTTTTTGGGTTTTTATATATATATATAAACACACAAAAAAAACATCGCCGCAGGGGGTGGGGGAGGAGGGTGCCGTAGAGAAGGGCGTTGGACAGCAATCGCCGCGCTTAGAGCGAGGCGGGCAGGTCCTGGACAGGCGGCGGCGGCGGTAGGGGGCGGGGAGGGGGAAGGGGGGCGGGGGGCGGAAGGGCGCGTGGCAGAGGAGATTGCAGGATCCCCTCCAGGAGGGGCGCGGCACAGAGAAATATCGTTTAGCCTCATCCGTTCGTTTCCGTAGCGCTGGCTCAAGGCACATCCGTAGTCGCATTCGCCCCCCGCGAGGGGGCTCGAGGGCCGTCGGCATGCTTTCGAAGCGTAAGTTGCCTTATGACAGGCTGCAGCTGCCGCCGCAGAGGCGGCTGAGAGCGAACGTGGAGGACCTGATCAGCAGCAGCGCGATCAGCGGGCAGCGCGGTGCTCAGTTGATCAATGACGCCGTCTTTGCGTCTGCGGCAGGCGTTGCCGACCTGCAGACCTCTGAGACCACGCGGGGCATGAAAAAAACGCTGCCAGGAGATTCAGGCGCCAGTTCGTCAAGAAGGGGTGGCCTCCGCTGCATCACTGCAAGGTGAGGGGCCGGGACCCCAAGTCTGAAACAGAGCAGCTGATGGATATTGCTATGATGCTTCCGCACGAAATCCTGGCTAAGCTACATCATTTCGGCGACGAGAGCGCGCTTCTGGAGACGTCGAGCCTCGACGGCGTGTCTTTGCGCCACGTGCAAAAAGCGAGGGCTGAGAGCGGTTGCGACGATCTCGTGGCCTTGGGCGCGCGGCAGGACAGAGCCCCCCGCTTCTGGGACCGATCAATGAGCGCAGAAATCATCGGCATCATGCTGGCAGGTGCTGTTGGCCGCTGGAAAAAAAAAAAAAAAAAAAAAAAAAAAAAAAAAAAATGCGCGCGCCGTTAACTGCGTTTCTCAAAGAGCACGTTGGTCCCAACACATTTGTTGATATCTTCGCCATGGCGCAATGGAGTTTAATTCATTTGGCTGCGAAGCGCTGGCCGACGGCGCGGCACGACGGGCCCCCTTTTGTCGTGAACACAGACACCGGGAGGAAGCGCCAGCAGGGTTCTCTACCGATTGGCGGGGTGCTTTGCCAGATCAAGGGGGGCTGGAAGATGATGAAGGAGGTGCTCAAGCTACATGGCTGGCAGGACGACGAGATTTGCTTCCTGTGCAACATCGGGAAGGGCGAGGCCCGTGGGCACCCAAACCATCACGGGAACTTATAAGTCAAAATCCCTTCTTGGAGGGGGTTTAGGCATGAAAATCCATTTCGATGGGGGAGAACTTGTGGAGGAAACAGTCTTGCGCCCCCTGCTACAGGAGATCGTCGTCTTGCGGGCGGGAAGGAGAGGGGGAAGGAGGGTGGGGGGAGGAGGGGGGGAGGAGGAGGAGCAGGAGGAGAAGGGGGAAGAGGAGGAGAAGGGGGAGGAGGGGGAGGAGCATAGAGAGGAGCAGGAGGTGGGCGCCACCGCTTTGAGAATCCCCCATCCAGGTGAAGTCACAGACTGGGAGAGACGCTCCGCGGAAAACAAACCGCCGCACGTGGTCGGACATCATTTGGAAGATCGTTGCTTCAGGCGAGACTGCGCGCCCTCTCTTCCAAGTGCCGTTTGCAGGCGAGAAGCTGCTGCAAACGAGAAGCTGCTGAAGTTAGACTGGCTGCGCGTCGTTGACCTTGGAGTGGCGGCTGGCTTCATCGGCGGCTTGGTCTGGTACCTCGTGACGCGCAGAAAGGTTGCAGGAGCTGCTCAGAAAGCCCGCGTGCTGACGCTGCATCGTCATCTGATGGCGTTCTACGACAGGCATCCGCCAGGTGAGAAGACCAGCCGCTTGCCGAAGCTGACGCGGGGCGTCGTGAAGGGGCAGAAGGCGAAGACGGCTAAGATGAGGTGCGGCGCGGGGGTGCTCAGGCACATGGTTCCATGGGCGATGGAATCGTCAATTCACGCTGGGATGAAAAGCTTGAGTCGGCGTTACGACGCGCTGTCTGATAACCATCCATTTGCTGTGGATATCCTTCGTGGGCATTCAATGAAGTTTGGCGCGCAGGTGGCAGCTTTGGAAGACGCGCCCCCGACGCATTTCAAAGTTAAGCCGAAAATGCACATGCTCCAGGAGCTCTGCGTGGAAGGCGGCGAGCCAGCGAAACACTGGAATTACAGGGGCGAGGATTTCGGTGGATATGTAGCTTCTTTTGGCCGAAGGCGGGGTCAGAAGAGATCCATGAGGGCATTTTCGCTGGCATGCATCGCGAAGTTCTGTGGCCAGCCGATTCTGCGCATGCTTTGAAAGAAACACCTTGGGCATCATCATTGTCATCATGTACGAAGCCCCTCCCAGTTGGGGTTTTGAGACCCCTCCCAGTTGGGGCTCGAACCCACTTCAAGCAAAAATCCTGTATCGAACTATTTTTTTCCCTGCGCAAAAAAAGATCAACCCAAACAAAAGTTCCGCCCCCGCATTACAGTGCAGCCAGGCATTGTAGCACAACTTTGGAATCTCAAGGCTTGGCGCCGACGACGCCCCGCAGCTACTCGCCAGGGCTGGCCAGGGCGGGCGACGACGCGGTGCCCTTCGGCGGCGACAGCGGCGCTGGCGCCCAGCCCGGGGTGGCGGATGCGCGGCCGGTGCCTGGAGGATTGGACGGCTCGCGGGGCGCCGCGGCAGCGGCCAAGCTTGGCGGCCGAGCTGCGTCGGGGACGCGGTGATGCTGACGCGCGGGAGCGGGGCAGCCTGGGGCTAGAGCCGACTGCTCTGGGCAGCCTGGTGCCCGCGGAGTTTCGCAGCCCTGCGCTTCTGGACGGCCCGGTGGGCGGCCCCGCTGAGCTGGCCAGCCCGGCGCCGTCGATGTCGCGGAGGCCGCGCTGACGGGGTGGCCACCCTGCGCCTAGTCTACAGGCTGGGTCCCTCGCGGGGGTGAGCTGGGTGCCGCAGAGAGCCGCGGACAACCGAAGAGGTCAGACATCAACGACGAAAAAAAACAGCTTCAGCACCAGCAGTACCATCATCATCAGCATCATCATCACTTCTGGGGCACATTCCTCTCACGTTTCGCGTCCTCCTAGTAGGGAGATCTGTTCGCCCCCCCCAGTACGGCGTTTCGTGGCCCCACCGACTGCCCCAGTGGCAGGGTCCACATGCGCCTCCCCTACAGAGTATAGTGTTTCGTGGCTCATAGGGAGCTGCGCCGAGGGATCCCAGTGGCAGGGTCCACGTACGTTTCCCCCGCCCAAGACAGCGTTTTGTGGCTCATTGGGACATGGACGACCCCCGGGGCAGAGTCCACATGCGTCCCCACCACCCAGTGCAGCGTTTTTGTGGCCCACACGGAGCTCCATTGACGGCTTCACTTGCAGAGTCCTCATACGCGTCCCCCCACGAGGGCAGCGGTTCGTGTCTCATAGGGAACTCCACCTACGGCCCCAGTTGCAGGGCCCACGTGCGTTTCACCCAGTGCAACGTTGTATAGCCCACATGGAGCTGCATGTGTCTCTTCGCCCCATGTCGGCACACCCCATCACGCATTTCGTGCCTCTCATGGGGACCTCCACTGGAGGCCCCAGAGGCAGGGTCCACATTCGCATCCCCGCCCCATGTCGGCACACCCCTTACGCATTTCGTGCCCCCCATGGGGAGCTCCACCGAAGGCCCCGATGGGAGGGTCCACATGCGCCTCCCCCACCCAGTACGGCGTTCCGTGGCCTCATAAGGAGCTCCGCTGAAGGTCGCAGTGTGGCCGCGGCCGCATGTGTCTACCCAATCCGATACAGCGTTCCCTAGCCCAACAGGGAGCTCCACCGAAGGCCCCAATGGCAGCGGCCGCACGTTTCCACCTCGCCCGTGACGGCGCTTCCTGGCCCCATGGGGAGCTCCACCGAAGGCTACAGTGGCCGTGGCCGCGGGCACCGACGGCTTCTTTGTGGGCGTTCGAATGTGGACCCTGGGCCCGGTCCCGCGCACCTCTCGCACGCTTCTTGGCCCCATGTGGAGCTCCACCTGAGGCCCCATTGGCAAGGTCAGCATGCGCTCCACGCCACCACCATTACAGTCAAACCGTATGGTAAGGATGGATAGCCTTCCCAAAGGTACCCTTGCATCCTTCCCCGCTGGCGCGTCCGTAGCGACTTTGGCTGGCCAACCTCGTTCGAAAAACGGTACCGAGGCCCTCCAAGGCCCTTGCATCCTTACCGCCCATCCTTATTATGCGGGTTGACTATACGGCACTCTCCCTGACGCGCTTCGTGGCCCCAATGGGGAGCTCCCCCGAGAGCGGTAATCACAACGCGGCATTCACGAATGCACATGGCTGGGTCTTTTTCCAAGGTCATTTTCACCTGAACAGTGCTTGCATTGGTGGTTTTTGCTTCTTGATGGGGGGGAGGAGGAGGAGGAGGAGGAGGAGGAGGAGGAGGAGGAGGAGGAGGAGGAGGAGGAGGAGGAGAAGGCGGAGGAGGAGGAGGAGGAGGAGGAGGAGGAGGACCCCCTCCCTCTCCTACCTATGGTGGTGGTGGTGGTGGAGAACCGGGCCATCACTTCTGGGTCGGGGGCCGTCGCCCGGTGCCCGCCCGGGGGTGCCTCGTGGGCGCTCGTGCGCCCGGGGGGGCTGGTTCGCGTTCTCGCCCGGTGCCCGCGAGTAGGCGTTTCGTGGGCTGGTGGTCTCCAAACCAGGTGGTGAGACACCCGGTGGTGACCCCGATTCCCCCAAAAAATATTTCTGGGTCACCACCGGGTTTGGGGACACGCGGTCGCCACGAGGTTTTGTGTTTCCTGGGCCAGCCAGCGCTCGAAAAACATTTCCCAAATACCACCACGTTTGGGGACCACCAAGCTCTGGCGGGCAGTTCTGGAGGCACGTGTGCCTGGACTGCACCACGCTAGGCCTCCTAGATGGGGTCGGAGTAGATGGGGTCGGAGGATCGCGCCGCATCGGCAATGCATCGGCGATGCATCGGCGACGTATCGGCGATGCGGCTCGATGTGGGGCCCAATTTTCTCCACGCCGATGTCGCCGATGCATCGCCGACGCCGCCAGCGCATCGCCGATGCGTCGCCGATGCATCGCCGATGCATTGGCGATGCGGCGCGACCCTTCGACCCCATCTACTCGGACCCCATCCAGGAGGCCCCTAACCACATGAGTTCGATGACCGTCTTTGGGGCCTTCCTGGGGCACACCTGCTGGATCTGTTCGACTCCAGCTCGACTCCAGTGCGACTCCAGTGCGACTCAGGTTCGACTCAAGTTCAGCTCAGGTTCGAATCAGGATCGACTCCAAATCGGCTCCAATCGTCGGACGTTCGACGCAGTTTCGACGCACGAGAGGAGCGAGTGGCTCCGGGAAGGTCCCCAGAATGAGTAGCCAACATTAGCTGCTGCACAGATGGTGCACCACATACACTGCAGCTCAGAAGCCAGGGCACGTATGTGAAACCACACTCGATCGCACCATGGTTTATTTACCATTATTGCAAAAGGAAGTAGGTGTAGACGCTTACCTCCCCCCATCCAGGCCGCTGCTATCCGCTCGCCTCCGAGCAGCTCCATTATTAATCTGCACGGGCGCTCATTTCCAATACTCAGTCACACCGAGTCAATGCCGTGCGATACCATGTGGGTCTCATGCGCGTGCCCCCGTCGCGCATCTGAACCCCAATCAGGAACCAACTTGTTCGTTGTACCAAGTTGTAGGAATAGGGTACAGTTCTCCCATATGTCCTTTGGCGTACAGCAGAAGCTTGTCAACATTCGTCGCGCGCACCTGCTGAAGCCGCAGGACAACACGATGCCTTCCTGGCAGTCTCTTGAATAGGACCATCACGGCCACGCGCGCGCGCTTGCCGAAACCATCCATCAATCCTCGCGCACCCGCTAGCTGTCAAATAGCACGGGGCGGGCCACGCGTGCGTCTCCGCGCGCGCACCTTGAGAGTCGCCTGCGCTTCCGCACCACCCTTCGAGCCAGATAGCGACTACAGAATTGATCGACCCCATGATCGGCTTCTCCGTCGTCTCTTTGAAAAGCACGTGCAATACTATGCAGATGTACGGACAGTCTCCATATCTGTTGTAGATTCACCGAGAGCTTCAATGTTGAGCCAAATCCATTATGCAGTCGATTTCCAACTTGATCTTTCAGTATCGCCAACGCTGAGATTGTTTTCTTATCGTCTGGCGCGTAACTGCCGTTACCCGGGCCACCACCACCCTTTGGAAACGGTAGTGACCGTGCAAATGAGGGGGGATTAGCTTTGACCCCCCCACACATGCTGGTTCTCGCGGGCGCCCTACGGCGATCGCAGCGCGCCCCCGCCCCGACGTGCCCGACCCCGTACCCCGCTGGCCCAAGAGTCACCGCTGCCCAGTCCTCCCTCCTTTCGGACCACGGTCATTAACCAACATACGGAAAACGATGTGCATATCTATACATATATATATATATATATATGGACAGCCCCCCCCAGCGCCCATTCGTCGCCTTCTTTTCTGTTGACGGTGGTTTTGTCTCCCCTCAGCTTTCGTTTCCCTTCTCCCCTCCTGTTATGAGTCCTCCTCCTTCGCATCCTCCTCTTCCAGATACTGATATTCCTGTTGCTGCGGACCCTCCTGCTCCTCTCCCTCCTCCTCTTCCGATCAGGCACAGAGAGACAGAGAGAGAGAGAGGGAGAGAGAGAGAAAGAGAAAGAAAGAACGAGGGAGACCGAGAGAGGCTTGAGGGAGCAGCGATCCCTGTGAAATCACAGGGTGTGTGACGGCAGGGGTCACCGAACCCTGTGTTTTCATTGGGATTTTTGGAATTTCTGGGATGGAAATAAAGGAAACCTTGTGTTTTCATTTGGATTTTGGGGATTTTTGAGATTTTGGAGTCCGACGAAATCTCCACCGCCGCTCCTCCCCCAGGTCGGCGCCTTCAGAATCCCAACCATCCCAGTGAAAACACAAGGTGCGCGAGGTCAGGGGTCACCGAGCCCTGTGTTTTCATTTGGATTTGTTTTTTGATTTCTGGGATGGGAATCAGGGAAACCTTGTGTTTTCGTTTGGATTTTTGGGATTTTTGGGATTTTGAGGTCCGATGGAATTTTCACCGCCGCTCCCGCTCCAGGCCGGCGCCCTCCACGACGTCGGACCTCAAATCCAAAAAAAAACAGAAAATCCAAATGAAAACACAAGGTTTCCTTGATTTCCATCCCAAAAATCCCAAAAATCCAAATGAAAACACAGGGTTCGGTGACCCCTGACCTCGCGCACCCTGTGTTTTCACTGGGATGGCTGGGATTCTGAAGGCGCCGACCTAGTGGAGGAGCGGCGGTGGAGATTTCGTCGGATTCCAAAATCCAGAAAATCTCAAAATCCAAATGAAAACGCATGGTTTCCTTGATTTCCATCCCAGAAATCCCAAACATCCAAATGAAAACACAGGATTCGGTGACCCCTGCCGTCGCACACCCTGTGATTTCACAGGGATCGCTGCTCCCTCAAGCCTCTCTCGGTCTCTCTCGTTCTTTCTTTCTCTTTCTCTCTCTCTCTCTCAATCTCTCTCTCTCTCTCTCTCTCTCTTTGGCTCTCTTTTTTTTTTTTTGTTTCTCTCTCTCTCTCTCTCACTATCCCTCCGTCCGCCCCTCCCCCCCTCCCTCCCTGAACCAGGGGGGGGGGGATGATGATGATGATGATGAGGAGGAGGAGGAGCAGGAGGAGGGGGGGGGGGGGATGAGGACGATGAGGAGGAGGAGGAGGACGGGGATGAGGAGGAGGAGGATGAGAAAGAGCAGGAGGAGAAGGAGGAGGAGGAGGAGGAGGGGGAGGAGCAGGAGGAGGAGAAATAGAGAGAGAGAGAGCGAGAGATAGAGAACGACATAGGAAAGGGAAACGTGTGCGACAAAGAAACGGAACTTCGAGGATATGTGAGACAGGAGAGGCTGTTGATGCCTCGAATCTCTCTCTCTCTCTATTCCTCTCTCTCTCTCTCTATGTGTATCTCGTTCGATCTCTCTGCCTCGCGAACTCTTTCTCTCTCTCTCACACACTTTCTCTCGCGTTCGGTCTCTCGCTATCCCTCTCTCTCTCTTGCCCTCTCTCTCTCTCGCGCGCGCTCTGTGCTCTCCGTATCTCTTCCTCAGCGGAGGAGGGGGCACGAACATAAAGAGGATGTGGCAGCGGCGGCCGTGGAGGAGGAAGGACAGAGGAAGATGAGGAGGATGGGGAGGACGAGGAGCATCCTTATCTTCATCATCCTCTTCCTCTCCGCTCTTCCTCCTCCACTTGCTGCGCGTCCTCCTGATGCATTACCTTGACCTCCTTCTCCTGCCCCACCACCACCACCACCACTACGACTACTACGCCTATTACTACCACTGGGAGCACGACTACTGACAAGACCATCAGCAGTACTACATCCTCGGCTTCGTCCCCGTCCTCCTGCTACAACCCCCCTCCTCCTCCCCTCCTCCTCCCTCCTCGTCCTCCTCATTCCTACTCCAATAATGAATTAAGGAGAGGAGGAGTGCAATTACTTATCCTCCTCTCCCCCCTCCTTGTCGTCCTTCTCTTCTTTCGGAACATCTGAACCTTCTCCCGACTTCTCTGAAGAAGAAGAGGGGCAGGAAGGAGGAGGAGGAGGAGGAGGGGGAACTCATTTAGGATGATGGCAACGGCGACGATGATGCGGATGATCAGTATGATGCTTGTGATGATGATAATGATGAGGAACCGCACCTTATGATGAGGAGGAGCAGGACGATTAGGAGCCTCCTCTTCCACCAGTGTTTTCCTTCGCCTCCTCGCCATCGTTCCCCGAGGAGGCGGATGAGGAGGAGGAGAAGGAGCAAAAGGAAGAGGAGGAGCGAGGAGCGAGGAGGAGGAGCCCCCGAGGACAATGAGGATTCTGGAGGAAGGTCGTAGGAGGAGATGGGGCGAGGAGAAACAATAAGAGCAGAGGAGAGGGGAGCAGGAATGAGAGCAAACGGTTCAACCTAATAATGAAGCTGATGAGGTGGATGGTGAATGGGGTGAAGGGAGAGGACCATAATTATCAGTAGAAATATGAGTAAGCGTAGCAAGAAGACGGAGTGGGAGTAGGGTGGGCAGCACGCACGACGATGTGGGAAATCAATGGGCGCTGGGGGGGGGGCTGCGCATATATTTATATGTATACAACTAGTCGCGGGCGATTCCCAAGTCCCCGAGTTCCGATTGAGGAGTTTAGCCGTTCGAAAAAAGGGGAAACGCCTACACCCCAAGGGGGCTATTCGGACGCACCCCCCATTCTGGGATGGCCATCGCATATTCCAGTCTTCGGCCCCGAACGTCTGGTCCACTCCAGAACCTCCCAAAGTCTGGAGTGAATAGGGGGCCACATGTGAACCCTACCCCTACCCCCCACGATTTCTGAGGGGAGGGTGGGGTTCACTTCGCTCGGGAGCTTCCGAACGAAGTGAACCCCACCCCCCCTCAGAAATCGTGGAGGGTAGGGATAGGGTTCACATGTGGCCCCCTATAAAGATCGACAGATCTCCTGTGACACATCCTCTCCATCCCAATCTTCCATTGCCGCACTCGGCGTCGGTGCTGGACGCGAGCACGGCTCAGGCCGCGGCCTCCGCGCGCGCACGCGCGCGCGGGCGCCGCGCCGCCCGGCGGGCGCCGGCGGCCTTTTGGTCGGAGGGTTCCGAGAGGTGCTTGGCATCGCTCGGACGTGTGCATTTTTCCTTGGGCGAGGACCACCGAGGAGCATACTTGGTCATTTGGCGAAAGAGCCGCGCACGAAACCGAAACAAACACAGGGATTGGACGTCCGAGCGATGGCCAGGGTGTCCCTGCGGCTCCGCGTACCGTGCCCATCGGTCGTTGAACGTAGAGATGTTTGGGTTCCCGGATTCCAATCTGCTTCAAGCGCCCTAATTATCTTGCTTCAGTGCTCGGGTGGCTTCACCTATTCCGTCCTCCTCGGGGGGCGGACGGAGCCCAATCTTCTTTCAACGCCTTCCTACTTTATGTTTCGACCTACTTCTTCCGATCGATGGGTAAGGGTAACCCCTCGACGGACTGGTCTTTCGTGCGTCGTGTCTCCCCGTAGTCGACGTTTCCTCCCCAATCCCCGATTTGTCGACGAGAAATGAGGCCGTTCAGAAGAGGAAGGGGACCCTGGGATACACCCCAAGGGAGAGCTCATCGGACGTACCGCTATTGAAGATGGACGCTCCTCCATCGTATATCCCAGGGTTGGGCCCAAGGTTTCTGGTCCGTTCGAAAAAAAACTCACGAAGCCTGGGATGGGGGTGGACATATCCCTTGTCATATCTCAGAGGCGATGAGAAGGGGCGAACGGAGCCTCGCCGAAGACATGGACCACGGGCTATTCTTAAGTCGGGCACGTCCCTCTGCAGGAGGAATATTTAAGCATAGTTAAAGCGTAGTGCGGGGACGATGTTCCTACTATGTTTGACCGTATGTTAGTTTGCGCTGTTGTTGAAACAAACATGTTAGTGGTTTTGCCCAAGAAGGATCTGCCCGACCGAAGGCTATTCGCCCCTTTCGTCGCCTCCGAGCTTCGGGTGCGCCGGCCGGTGGCGACGATGGGGGGCCTCCTTCGGCAAAGAGACGGGCCCGACTTTCCCACGAGATCTGTTTGTCGTGAATCCGGGCGGTTTCCCTCAGCTTCGGCCTCATGTGGCCTGGTATCTCGGAGGGAGGAGAAGTGACACCAACACCACCATAGGGGGCCACCTCCAGCCAGGAGGTCCACGATGCCTCCGCGAACTGGAGGCTGGGGATGTCTCGAGCGAGACGGGGAGCCACACCACCAGGGAGACTCCCCTGGCTCCTCGCATCTCCTCGCCGTGGTAGAGTTGCTGCCGCCCCTCATTATCCCTACTATCATCGGGCCCAGGACCATCAGCGATGGATCCAGGGCGACCGATTACCTCTGGGGAGTGTTTGGGACCCCCTTGGCCGCGCACGGAGCACAAATTGCACCGTCGGGCAGCTGGGCATAGCCACGGGCCTTCTGGGGGGGGCCGTATCATATCTCTCCCGGGTGCGCCGTTGGCCCGCGCCTTCGGCGAGGCTCCCCGGCGAGAGTTCGTGCAATGCCCGCGCCACGGGTCCTTCGCTCCGAGATGGCCCATGCCTTCGGCGATGCTCCCCGGCGACAATGCGTGCATTTTCCGCGCCATGGTCAGGCGCTCGCAGACATGGATCAGGGGGGCGTGGATTAGCGACGGGTCCCGCTTCCATGGGAGATCGCGGATTTCCGCCGCCGAGCGAGGCGGTACCGGCCGCATTTTCGGGAGGGCACCTCCCCCGATCCATGGATTTGGCGACCGCGCGCCAAATCCATGGATCGCTAATCCATGTTTGCGCGGCTTTGATTGATTTTCGCGTCGATTCTTCAGCAAACGCACGCAGCAGATCCGTAGATCTGCGAGAACCTTCTAATTACGAATGCTCCGTGGCTTCGGCGAGACAAATCAGTTCAGGGGTGAAGCAATGTTGCAGTCGACCCCCTGCTGCATCGACAGGCTCCCCGAGTAGTCCCAGCAGACGTCAGCAGGCCCCCCGAGAAGTCCCGGGCGGTCGCGCCGCCCTCGGGCGCGCCTCTCGTGCACGCCGCGCCCCCCAAGGGTGGGGGAAGCCGTGCCGGGCCCGCGCGCGGGCAGGCCGCCACTGTCGCAAACCGCGTGCTGCGGGTGGCCAGCTCCTGGCATCGCTCGGACGTGTGCTTTCTTTCTCGGCGAGAACCATCGAGGACCATCCTGGACCATCGAGCAAAAAAAAACACGCACGAAACCGAAACATGCAAACGAAACGGACGTCCGAGCGACGGCAAGAGCTGTGCACCAAGGGTCACTCTTGCCTGTGATCACCCTCGTGTGCATCTTTGGCCAAACGTTTATCTGGACGCCCGAGATGGGCACGGAAAGAATGGGCACAATGCCCAACAGCAGTTCCTGTTCATTTTGAACAGGACTCGCTGTCGGTGTCGCCGCGGCCTGTGTCCATTCGAGACAGAAGGCCGCCTGCCCAACAGCGGCCGCTGTTGGTGTGGGACAACATTTGTTGTTGGGCATTGTACCCATTTTCTCCGTACCCATTTCGGGTGTCCAAAACCGCGTGCTTTGGGTGGCCAGCTGTGCACCAAGGGTCATTCTTGCCTGTGATCACCCTCGCGTGCATCTTTGGCCAAACGTTTAAAGGATGCAGCTCCGTAGGGGTTGAACTCATCATCGGAGCTAGCCTGTCCGTGATCGAACACCAGCCTAATCCGGCATAGTGCCTTGTAATCCCGCCTGATCACCCCCAATCGGGCGCAATAGCGTTTCATCGTTCCCACGAAGACTTCCCAGGAGTTGCGCCCTGATTCATCAGGTGCACTAGCTTTTCGCTTTATTTTGAACCCCTGGGGCCTTCTGGGCCTCTTGTAGGATTCCAGGCTTCCCACATCGGATAGATGGGGTCGGAGGATCCCGCGCCGTTTCGCCGCTGCATCGGCGATGCGGCTCGATGTGGATCCCGATGGTCTCCACGTTAACGTCGCCGATGCATCGCCGATGCGTAGTTTGCGATGCGCTGCGATCTTCCGATTCCGTGCGTTCGGACCCCATGTTGGAGGAGTCGGAGGATGTTCTGCAGGCCGTGGGGGCTTCCAGGAATTCTTGGGGACACCATAGGGCCAGAGACACTTCTGGTACCGTCCGAGCTCTGTCGGGCAATGCCCGCGGCACGGGGCCCACCAACGACGCGGGCGCCGGACGCGAGCGTCGCGCAGGACCTTCCCCCCGGACGCCCGCCGCTTCTAGCAGATCGGGTTGGCCAGCTTGTCGTTGTTATCGAAGACGCCTACGGCGAATCACCGCCGCCCCCTGCCTTTGTGGAAGCGCCTATGTGGCCGAACGTTGAGGCCAGACCTGCCAAGCCATCGGACCATGTGTTCCCCGAATCGGTTTGGAAAGCCTTCGGGGAACACGTGGGCGTCTTGATGGTCATCGTCGCCGTCTTGGAGGCCTCTTGGGCGATCTTTCGGCGATCTTTGGGGGCTCTTGGGCCGTCTCGGGCCGTCGGAAGGCCGAAAAAAGGGAAATGCCCAAATCCATCAAAAACCTTGGGAAAATCAGTGATTTTGGCATCTTGTGGCCTTCCTGGAGGCCCTCTTGGGGGCCTCTTGGGCCCTTTTGGGCCAGCTTCGAGCCAACTTCGGCCATCTTGGTGGGTTCCTGGCACGTCTGACGCCGTCGGGAGCCGTTTTGGGGGCCTTTCTGGGCCAACGGGGGACCCTCTTGGGGCGCTCCAGGGCCGTCTTGGAGGCCATCTTGGGCGTCTTGGAGGCCATCTTGGGCGTGTTGGAGGCCTCTTGGGCCGTCTTGGGGCCCTCTAGGGGCCATCTTGGAGGCCACTTGGGCCATCATGGGGCTCTCTTGGGGGCCTCTTGGGCGATCTTGGGGGCTTCTTGGGCCGTCTCGAGCCGTCGGAGAGCCGAAAAGGCGCAAATGCCAGAATCCTTCAAAAACCAAGGAAAAATCAATGATTTTGGCCTCTTCGGACTCTCCTGGAGGACCTCTTGGAGGCCTCTTGGGCCGTCTGGGAGGCCTCTGGGGGGCCTTTTGGGCCGTCTTGGGCTGTGCGGTCCCAGTCGTCCATGAGGCGGAGGCCAAGACAAGAATGACAAGAATGCCAGAATGCTGAAAACCCTAGAATGACAAGAATACCTGGAATGCCCAAAATGACAGAACAGGAATGACAATACTAGTGTATTTCTAGGAATCTACAGAAAAGAATGTTTTTCTTCATATGTGTTGTACATCTGAACGACGTTTTCAAGGACATGGTCCCCGGGGAAAGCAGATTGCGCATCCGCGCGCGCACTGTGTCCGTGGCTTCCCAAAGCCGAAAGCGGCACCCATGGGGGCCCCATGGGCCCATGGAGACTCGTGTCGCGTGAAATATGTGCCGTGTGGACAGACTTTCATCATTTGCAAGCCAATGGGCCAGCGAAGTTGCCGCGGGGCAAAACGCGTGTGGCATGTGCAACGCAAAAACAACATGGCAGACATGTTGCGCGCGCTATTTCTTGCTCTTTCTCAATATATTTCCTCTTTCCCCCTCACTTTCTAAATCTCGCTCTCTCTCTCTCTCTCTCCCTCTCTCTCTATATATATATATATATATATCCCTCTCTCTGCCTGTTTCCCCTTTCTCCCTTTCTTTGTTGTCTGTTTCTTGTCTCGGTCATAACTCTGCTTTGTTGTTGGTGATATTATCCAGCCTGTCGCTCTCCCGTTCCTCTTTCCTCTTACCTCTTTCCCAAGTTCTCAAGCTGCGCGCCGTTGCGAGAAGTGCCCCTGTGAGCGCTCGAAACAAAACGATGCGACGATGCGACGATGCGCATAACTGCAGCGCGTGTGCCGCTTTTTCTCTGGAGTCTAGACGCATCGCATACTTTACACATGACACATGACACACCACATGACATATGACATATGGCACATGACACGTCACACCACACAACACACAACATATAGCATATAGCACATACCACATGACATAACAACATACCATGACGCATCATAGTGGCATATCGGATATCAGGCATGGTCCCCACGGACCCAAATTTCATTTATTATTTCATCATATTACTTATTATGTATTATTGTTCGCAGCTCGCATAACACATCGTTTCATCATACCATGCACAATGCAAACAGTCATTTTCACACTGCGTAGTGCATAATGAATTGCGCATAGTGCATTCACCGCCGGGGAGACGCCCATGGAAGGAGGCGCAGCGGATTTCCTCTTGGGCGTCTGGGGCGTCTTGGGTCTTGGGGTCTTGGGCTTCTTGGGCGTCTCGGGGTCTTGGGGCTTTTGGGCGTCTTGGGTCTTGGGTCTTGGGGTCTTGGATCTTGGCGTCTGGGGGGTCTGGGTCTCGGGTCTCGGGCGTCTCTGGTCTTTTGGGCGTCTTGGGTCGTGGGTCTTGGGCGTCTGGGGGGATCGGGTCTTGGGCCTTGGGTTTAGACCCGCTCCTCCTCCGCCTCCTCCACCGTATTGCCGTTTTTGCCCCAACGCACAAACGCGGTCATCATTCACATTCGATTGGTATGCTAACCATAAGAGTTGACAACTTGCTCGATGATGATGTTGACAAGCTGGAAGACCTTGCAGCCCCTTGCCAGCCATGCCCTGTCAGCCCCTGCCAGCCCTTGTCCGCAAACAGCCCTAGCCCCTTGCAGAGTCCGCGCCGACCATCTCCGCCAGGATTGGGCGCTGATGCACATTTCGACGCAGGATTGCCCGCCGCATTACAGGGATTGGACGTCACTGATGACGCAGCATTGCCCGCCGCATTACAGGGATTGGACGCTGATGACGCAGCATTGCCCGCCGCATTACAGGGATTGGACGCTGATGACGCAGCATTACAGGACGCTGATGAACATGTAGACGCAAAACTGCCCGCCGCATTACGACGATTTGACGGCGATGAACATGTAGACGCACAACTGCCCGCCGCATTACAGGGATTGGACCGCGATGATCGCTTGGACGTAGACAAGCCAGCCGAATTACAGGGGCCGCCGCATGTGCGATCGACAATCGGAGTGGATCGAATGTGTCGCCAGACTCGTTTGGGGCTCCGCGCGCCACGGCCTCTGCAGTGCCCAGCCGACCGTGAGTATAAAGGCACGCGAGCTTCCTCGAGAAAGTACCACAACTTGAATAAATCATTGAGGAGAATGGCGCATCGATTGTCCAGTACTGTAAAGCATAGCCAGGCCATGGGGACGCAAATGAACAAGTCGGCTCCAAACCTCGGGGTCCGAATCGAGATGCCACAGGAAGGTCGCGGCTGGGTGCGCAGTGGCAGGAAGGGCAAGAAAGCTTCAAGACCAAAGGGAATTGATGGCGGCCACTGTATCAGCAAGGCTTGGACACCTGAGTTCACGCAGTTGCAAGCTTTCGGCCGCTTGGGCTCCACGACAAAGCACTCCCACCGGGTGACATCTCGCTCGCTGGACGCCGCTGCGACCACGCTGTCTGCAGCGTTGAAAGCTCAATCAGGGGCCATTCGGGAGCTGATATTCGGCTTGCGGGCCGGCGCTGTCAACGTGCCCTGGATGCGGTTGCAAGCGGCTTGGGATGAGACGCCGCTCAAGCTCAACTTTGGCAGATATGCTGAACAGCTTCGACCGATGGCCCGACACTGGGCGCGCGACGGCGACGAGGGCACGTGGCAGCTGCTCGCCGCCGAGGAGGCCGAGAAGAGGGGCATCGCGGCTTTGCAGAAGAAGTCAGGCATACTCCAGGTTCTGGGCATGGAGTTATTCTGCCAGTGGGCAGCCTGGGAGGATGCTGGCTCCATCGATCCGCGTCTTATTGGCAAGGAGACCTTGGTCCTTCACCGACGTCGCATGCTCGTGCCCCCCCGTTTTCTGGCAGCGGCTGCGTGCTCGCATATTGCTCAAGGCCTAGAGGATGGATTTCATGATCTTAATTGGGATGGGATCCTGAAGATCATCCAGGGGGGCCGCATGGATTTCCTCGTTATCACCTTGAACTCCGACCTGGCGGCCCCCAACCAGATTGTGAAGGCCTTGTGGGCGTGCAGAGCTTCAGCCCACAATGCCATGGTGAAGGCTGCCGGGGCAGGCACGTACGTGTTCATCATTTCGGCACCTTGCATATCTCATATACTCAATGCGGTGCAAACCCATTCGTTCAAGGTCCAGCACATTGTACCGAAAATGTTCAACGTTTGTTTTACTTTGAACAACGTGAACCGGTGGAAGGTAATCAAGCAAGCATTGGATCGTTGCGTGAGAGAGGATCTGTCACGCCACTTCTACCGCGGCATGGATCCACCAGTGGGAAATCGAGAGCACAACCAGAGGATCACGAGTTGTCAAGAGAAAGCAATGCGCGCCGCGTCCTTTCCCCCCCATCGGCCACGCGGCGGCTCCTGAAAGCAGGGGGGTGGGAGGAGGATGGGGGCGGCGGATGGCAGATGGGGGTGGCGGGCCAGGGCGTGGGAGAGGGAACGATGCGATGCGCGATGCGCAGAGTCGCGCGCGGCCGATGGGGAGGGGGCGGCGCGGGCATTCGACTCTTGGCTCTTGGCCTCTCGACCAGGGTTTTGCACGCGACGCTCCTCCGCAACCGCCACACTCGGGCTTCTCTCGACATGGACATGGACAAGGAGAAGCAGATGGACGAGGTTGCGCACCAGCTCTTGGATGTTCTGAATGGCGATTGGCGGGAGCAGCGCTTGCAGCATTGGTGCAGAGATTGCCGGAGGTGCCCGTGTAAGGGACGGCACGAAAACCTCGTTGACATTGTTACCAACTTACTTCAGATAGCAGTGTTCGACCCCATGAGTCAGAGGGCTCCAGCAGTTTCCAGGTGGCACACATATGGACCTGCATACGAGGGCGGGGCTTTGGGCTTTTTCTTGCACGGCATTGCGCGGCGCACCTTCGTGGTTGCAGGCGAGCTCTCCTTGGGCTCCGAGGCGGAGATCGACGATGGGCACGCCATCGCCAATAACGATAACGCGGGTGATTCAGAGGATTGGCGCGAGCTCTGCGACTCGAAGGCCAAGGATGCCATCGCTTTCTTCTCGACCGAAGAGACGGGGGTTCTGCTGGCCCGCGCAGTGATCATCACAGAGCCCATGGACAGACTCTCCAACGTGTTGCAGCACTGCGACAAAACGGGGAATTCGTTGAACCAGCTCTTCAACGAGGACGGCGCTTTGGATCTCGCAGCCAAGCACAT